AAGAGAGCGGAACAAGAAGATGTCTAGACGAGTTTAAACCGTTTTTAAAATGTCACAACATCTTACATCGGCTCTAGACAGTTTCTAGACAAAACGTTTGATATAACTAAGAGATAAGAATGTGATTGGCTGACCAGGTTTTACACTTTATCACGAAGTGTCAGCAACTTTCTACCTTTAAAAAGAGGCTTTTGAACAAACGTTCCTCTAAGGGCTTTGTATCCAGTCAAAGCTGAGACCTTTAGCTTCGAGAACGAGACATGACTTAAAACTTTTTCATGTATTCTCCAAAAATATACACCCCGGAAAGCTACCTGTTTGTTTTTTTTTTTTTTCACAAGAAAAGTTAACATGGTTATTTTTATTGAGGAGGTTAAACTTTCTCCAAATCGTAAAATGATAAAAATTCCATTATTTGATATCTTGTTTCTCCCACTACGGCATTCTAGCTAAAGCGCCTAGTAGAATGACGATGGCTATCACGTTTTCCGCCAAAATGATACTGATAAACGCGTGAGCGGTATTTGCTATTAGTAAAATCCAACTAGTGGTCTACTATCAACGCTGCGTTCTGATGGTTATAGCACTGAAGCACACGTACCAACTCCGCGTATGGCCATTACCTTACACATGCACACAACCATATCACCCCAGAGTAACTGTTGGCGAACCTTTTAGAAAGCTGTCCTTCTAAGAGTGGATTTCCTCTGTCGTGTGATTATTGTCTAATTACGCGCGTACGCACACTTACTAATACGCGACAGTGGCTTCTACCTTAAAAGCGGTGTGCGGTACGACAAAATTGACTGCATCAGTTAGCAAAGTTAACAACCATGAAAAAATGACAACTTGTGCGCCACTGGTTCACTTAGGGTTAGATAATGTGCCAAAGCTTTGCACGAACAGAACAAATAATACCTTTATATATGCGATGTCGAAACAGTCCGGGCTGTAGTTTTATCCCACTTATATTCATGCTTTATATTTCAACATACCGTAAAATTCCGAAAATAAGCCCCTCCATGTATAAGCCCCTCCAAATATAAGCCCCCCATATCGGTAACGCAAAAAACCCTCCGTTAAATCGCCCCTCCAAATATAAGCCCCCTGGGGGCTTGTACTTGGAAAATTGCCCTCAAATACAAAGTAAAACAAAGCCAAAACAGTAAATTTACTTCCAACTATAAGGCTAGCCCAATCGATTTTGAAACGCAAATTTCCCTCCGAATACAAGCCCCTCCAAAAATAAGCCCCTCAAAAAGGGCCTTTGAAGAATATAAGCCCCGGGGCTTATTTTCGGAATTTTACGGTATTTCAATATGAATCTGTTATATAGAATTTTTAATATTATCTTAAAAATCAGTTTTCGACTTATTATCTAGGATTCATTTGTAATTTTCAAGTATTGTAAAGTTTTTGTAAATAATTGCGTAATTCAGCCTTTGGCTTCGATGCAGTTTTAATAAACTATGTATCTATCTAGATGGTCTTATTGTAAATTCATTGGACCCGTTTGTACTGTGCTCGTTTAGGTAAGTAAAAGATATAATTATAGCGCTGATTTAAGGTTATTTAAAGTCTCCTGGAACTGAATTGAGGCCGAGAGAGAGCAGGTGAGTCTTTGAATTACCATGGTAACAGTGTTGCGTGGCTATTGAAGAGAAGTGTTCATTGGGTGGGGCTGTAATATGACCTCGTTTTTAAGGGCAGGTGAAGGGTTTGAAACATTTCAAACTTAAAATATGAATAATCAAAGCATGCCAGTGAAGCAGAAGCAGAAATTCAGAAATAAACAGTACGCTAACGAACAAAGTAGGTAATGTCAGTAGAGGACAATTGGAAATTATCCTCTTTTGGTAAGGTGAGGTAAAGTATATTGATTAAATCAGTCTGTATCCTGTTTACATTGAAATGACCGTTGTGAAGTGGTCGTTTTAGTAGTTGTAGTATAATCTAATGGCTATCGCCTATGATATTTCTATTTTGACAACAGTAACCATGACTGACAGAGAAAACAAAACATAATTAACTTTCGTTTTATCAGACGTATCGGCTTTATTGTTACCATGGATGCACAGGTTCAAAAAATAAAAATGCCCGTGCCTTTCAATGTAGTCATAGAAATTCCCCAAAATATATTATCAAACTTGTTTCGCAAAAGGTTGGCAATATCTATACCATAGTATTTACCTACAATATTTTATTTGGGTACGTTGCTACGCTGTATATAAAATGTCGTAGTACCGTGGGGTCTTCATGCATTTTTTGCCAAATTGTGAAAATTGAAAACTGAACATTGCGCATGCGGTTTAGTATAGTTAGGGAATTTCACTGAATTCAAACTTGCGTGGAAAATAAATGGAAAAAATTGCATAGCTTTCTTATTGAACTAAAATAGTTTATATGGACAGTTTTCCATACAAAACGGTCATCGGGCTATAAGCAAAATATTTGTGTGCGACCTGTAACTTTAGTATTGGGTTTTAAAATGTCTAGACATTTTTGCTTAGTATTGTCCGACTTTAAGTCAATTTTTATGTAAATGTAATTAGCAAAGGCCCTCAAACTATTACCCTTATCAATTAACCTTAATTACTCTGGGTCATTTTTTATTGGTTCCTTTTCTGGCTGAGCCTCCTTAAATAGTCGGAGGCAAGTTGTTTTCAGCACTTCAATTGAAGTTCTTTAGGAAGTTCTGTAACAAAGTCTTCTCAAAGGTAAGAATATATACTTTTTGTTACAATATAAATTTTTCATGATACTCCTAGCTTTTTCAAAGATTTAACTCTTCTTGTAAAGTAAAAGTTTTTTTCTTTATTCGTTATATGACCTCACATTCAGTTTTTAAGTAACTTTTTTCTAATCTAGAAGTCAACCATGATAGAATGAAAAAGTTTGGGCCACAAACAGATTGTAAGAATCGTAAATTACTTTAAGCAGTCTAACAGTACTAGTTTTCAGTTAAAAATGCGTCCAGAAAACAGGATTTTATTTTATTTTTAGTTCGTTTGATATTTGCACCCTCTGGTATTCGTGATCTTACGTTCGCCTGCCGATATTTAGGAAGAGCAGTAAATGTACTGAAAAGGAAGAAGATTTTGAGTGTTTTGTTTATTTTTGAAGCTAAGGATTGTTTTATGCATGATAAAGGTATATGCTAAACTTGTTTTACTATTTATTGTCAAATCATATCGAAACGATGAAAACATGCCCTTTAAAGGGGGCCATTACCGCTATAACTTTACCATTGATTTTTTCTTTCAGCTTTTTTCTCTTGAGCACAGACTGAAACATGCGTCCATTAATCGCCTCCGTTGTGTTGTTTATATTTGTGGCTGTAACTCAGGCTATCGGTGAGAAGTAAATTAATATAACAAACACCTGACGAGACGAAGAGTCTCCATAACATATCAAACAGTGAGAAGGACGATGAAACTACAACGTGTAGCAGAGTAGAAAGAAATTTGAAGGTTTTTGTTGTGTAATGAAAATTATTCGAATGTTTCGAAAAAAATTGAACATACCGCCGCCCTCAAGCGAGTTTTACATCACGTATCTAAACATAGCATGATTCATTACTTCCTTTGCCCCTTTTCCCCAACTGGGTGGTGATTACTTTGCAGTTCTTAAAATCTCTTGAAAAATCTTAAAAGATTGTTCACGAGATTTGTGAAGACTACAAAGGATTCACCACCTGTCAAGAACAAGTTCCTTTATGTGGCTTTTAAGATAAATGACCTGACTAAAACATGAATTCACTTTCACCATAAGCACTTGAAAACAATTTAATTCTTTCTCAGGGCCTCTTTGCAGTGGTGAGAATACCTGTTATTACATAAATGACCCCTGTCCATTTGGAACTGAAGAATGCTCTGAACAGTTTAGATGCGCATTGGGAACTAACAAATGCTGCTGCAAAAGTTAGTGAGTTAGCATCTGATATTCCCATTTTGAGATTGCGCGGGAGACCGGATTGAGATGTTTGTCAAAGTGCGTTGTGGGACTGTTTTGGGGAACAAATTTGTCGCCATTTTGAAAATTCGTCCCCAAAACAGTCCCACAATGCACTTGACAACCATCTCGACCAGGTCTCCAGCGCAACCTCAAAGTGGCGAATAGTAAGCAATAATTTTGTAATTCTCTGACAATCTTTGTTGCTTCCTAAATAAGGATGTTTTCATTTTAAAAATTCGCAGTTTATCCAGTATAAGTATTTTTGAGGCGAGATAAAAGCGATCAGTCCTTGCTCGAATGAGAATAACGATATACAGTAATGGTTACCATACACTTAGCAGAACAAAGGTGCCTTGTAGAGTTTCAACGTATTGGCCCAACATAGTCTAACAATATTTGAAGGTGATATATCGGTTCCCGGCAATCGAACGGGTGCTAACGAAATAGCTCTATGTTCGTAAGTGTGAATAATCGTTCGACTTTAGATTCTATAATGCAGCGAACTAAGGCTGAAATAAGTTTTAAGAGAGGCGGACATTAAGACAAATGAAGTAATTCCGGAGCACATACGAATTGGCATTAGAGGAACCGTACTATAAGTTACATGACTGCTGATTTTTCCAACAAAATTCGAGGCAATGTAAAAGGAAGTTAATAGTCGTCACACTGAACTGTTTGGATCCCCAAAAGTAACGAGACTTTGGAAAAAGCGATCCCTGGGAACTGTCATTCAGTGGCGGATTCAGGGGAGGGGCCTGTGCCCCCCCTTATTTTCAGACCAAACTGAGACCCGAAGGGCCGAAAAAAAATTTTTGGAGAACGCCCCCCCCCGCTTATCTCAGGGTCTGGGGGACCACCCCCCGCCCCCCTCCCCCTTATCTCAAGGTCTGGAACCAGCACTGCCAGTTGTCACAAAAATAACGACGATGGTTGTTTTCGATCCTTTACGTAGTAGCAAGACTAACCTTTTGTATCTCGGCGCAGGTTGTTCAGAGGGATGGGATGAATTCGGATCTCTTTGTTACTTTCACGTCAACAAAGGCAAGATGACGATGGGCCAGGGACAAGACGAATGCCAACTATTAGGAGCCACGCTGCCAGTTATCAAATCAGCCGAGGAAAACGACTTTCTTCTTAATCTGATGGAGGAAAATGGTGAGCCATGGCTTGGAATGGAAGCATCAGATGGTGATAACGATTTCAAGTGGGTAGATGAAACGTCAGTGGCGAGCAACTTCTCCGCATGGGCTCCGGGTGAGCCTAACTACTCTGGAGTGGAAGAGAACTGTGCGTACATGTACGTCAGCGGAAATTACAAAGGAATGTGGAATAACAATCCTTGTGAACAACTTCATCATGTTGCATGCCAAAAGCAGAAGTAACGCGCTCAGCCCATTTCTGCCGAGGGATTATAATTGTATGCTGGACGCACATGTAGAATTGTAGTGGGTGATGAATGCTGAGTCAGCTGAAAAATAGAGAATAAAAGGTGCTGGGATATGTTATGTGCTTTTTGAAAATCTTCTGTATTTTTTTATAATAAATTTTAAAATTAGTACCACGATGGTAGTATGGATTTGTTTGTGGGTCGGACGATTTAAAAAACGCCCGGCTTCTTCTCGTGACTAAATTCAATTTCCTCCTAGTACTGTCAACATGAAACAAAGATAAAAGGTATGAGAATTTAATAAAATGATCACCAGAGGGAAAGTGCTTCAATCTATTATCAAATTGAGAGTATAAAGAACAGTCTGTAGAACTTGCATGTGGGTTTAACTTGATACACCACTCCTGCGTATGAAACTTTGGTTGCAATTTGGGTTCAGCAATGACAGAGATTTTTGGGGCTATTTCATTAAGCTTCAAACACGGTCAAAACTTGCATTTTTGAAGTTTTGTGTATTCGCAACGCGGGGAAAAAACTGCGCCAACCATTCTCTCACGCCACATACAATTTTGGACACTATCTTTTTGTATCTGCAACTTCACACTAGTTTCAACATTGTATTGGGGCAGATGGAGAAGAATTACATAAGTGGAGTGAAATATGGTTTACAGGAGTGGCCCGATGATGATGGTTATAATGTAGATGTTAGTTAGGGGGTTGTTCGAGTATGAATGAATTGCATAAACCCTAATCCCATAACAAGACAAAATGAAAATCAGCTCATTCAAATAAATGTTTTAAAGCCATGGAGTAAAATATTAGGAACTGACGTGCCCCGGTGAGAACAGTTCAAATGTTCATTCAATCGATTTATGCAATATCGAACTCCTTGTAAGCAATGATTAAAAAATTTATCAGCCACAAAAACAGCGGAATTGTTGGGTAGCAAAAACGTTAATCAGCTCAGATCATGCATTCTTCGTAAAGTTACAGGTTTTTCAAAGAGAGTGTATCCGAATCTATTCGGTAATTCGGACTCAAATTTTCATAAATGACTGTAATTTTCATGTTCCTTCAAAATATGTTACTCGAGTAGCTTGATCAGAAAATGATAAGAACATATTAATGAGGCTAAAAATGTAAGCAAATATTCGCTCATGTTAGGAGTTGATATTAAATTTTATGTAAATCAATTAACGGTGCGAAAAGGGTGCCATGTGCATAAGTACCGGCTACGGGCACCGTTAAAGATATAAAAGAAACATTTTATAAAGAAATACCAGAATTAACGGCACATAGAACACTAAAAGCCACAATTAAACAAGCAGTTGATAATTTACGGTAGAACCATTCTATGCTATGGTTACTTAAGGAAACGCGTTAAGTGTACTTTTCAGATTGTATCATGACAGCATTTTTAAAGGGTGAATTATTTTAAGCGCATCACATAACCAACATTGGACTGTTTAGTAGCCTCTCAGCCTGTTATTTAATGTTCAGGGCCACTATGCGAGCAAAATAACCTAAAAAGACCTCAGCAACAACAAAAACAAAAAACAAACTTATTTCATCAAATATATCGTCTTGATTGCTTCCTGGATCCTTAAGCTTCGTGCTAAAAAGGGAAATTGCAAATGATTTTAACGTAGTCTCGGATGATCCTTGTATCGAAAATTACTGGAAATAACTCTATACTATGGTATCCACCCACAACATCTTATTTCGGTACGTTTCTACGCTGTTTATAAAATTCGGTGAGGTCTGCATTCATCCGTTTTTAGTTTCTTGAGTGCGGACACCAAATGACAAAGTACAAAAGATTGAAAAGGCACTGTGAACAATACCCAGAGCACGGCACAATAGCTAACCAACAATAGTTCCCTCAACATCATGAAACAGTCAGTTTTTTAAATTAAAAATTGCGCATGCGATTAAACGTAGCCAAGGAAATTCCTCCGCCGTGGCCAAACCTGTATGGAAAATAATTGGAAAAATTGCATAGCTATAGTATTAAACAAAATATTTATTTAAGGACAATTTGTCCTTTAAAACGTCCATCGGGATGTTAGCGAAATACTTTGCGTGCAGTCTGTAACTTTACTATTGCTTTTTAAAATGTCTAGACATTTAGTTCAGTATTGTTCATTTCTAGTCGATTTGTATCATGTAAATGTAATTGGCAAAGACTCTTTCAATTACTTTCATCCAATAACTCTAATTGATTTAGGAGCAGTTTCATTGGTTCTTTTTAGGATACTTAAAATGTCTATAAAAAGTCGGAAACAGTTCGTCCAGTTTGGAGAAATTCACGAATCAGCGCCTTTGTCGAAGGTAAGTATGATAGCTATAGCTTTTTCAAAGGGTAACTCTTCGTGTCCATTAAACGTTTTTCTTTAACCGTAGACCAATGGCCTTAAATTAAGTTCTTAAGTAACCTCACCCTAATCGAGAGGTCAACCAGGCCTAAAATATTGCTAACACATAGAAAAATGGCAAAGAAACACACACAACACAAGCAAACTTATGAAAAGCTTAAAAATAGTAATATTACTGCTAAAAGCACTTTTTGAGAAACAGGTTTTCTCCTTTTTTTAATTGGCATGTTTGCACAGTATTTGGCTCCATTGTTGCAATGGCTCTACCCTCCCTAACTTCTGTATAGAAACATCGTAAAGTATACTTCAAAGAGGAATACTCTAATTTCTTTGTTTCCGAAGCTAGAGAGATAGATTTATTTATATGATTCAAGGATATGGTAAGGTCGTCTTACTGACTGTTCAGTCACATTAAAACTGGATATTAACAATGCCTAGTAAAAGGGAAGGACTATGCATTCGTTGCGGACAAAGCGTTTCTTTAACTTCACTATTACTCAATTTTTTCTTCCAGCTTTTGCCTCTTCGTTACATACTGAAAGATGCGTTCATTAATCGCCTCCGTACTGTTGCTTATTTTCGTGGCTGTATCTCAGGCAAGCGGTGAGAAAACGTCAAGTAATTTATCGAACACAAGGAAAATAATGTTTAATCACACATCAAACACCGACAGGAAAAGATGGAAATAACTGGTTTATCCAACTTGATCAATTTGCGATGAAAATTTATTGAATGTTTAATGTAAATTTCAAACAAAATGATATATATTATTAAAACTTGAATACAGGTGAGACTGTCGCATCCTCAGACTAGCAGTTTTTTTATCAGATATTCAGTCATGGAATGGTTCATTAGTTCCTTCGCCCACCTCCCCGCCACGTCCCCTTTAAAGAAATTCATGAGTTTTTTAAGGCTAAATGCAGTTATAACAAAGTCTTTTATTAGAAACCAATAGATAAAACTACTTATCAGTTTGCGCTAGTTTGTTACTCGCCCAGTTGACAAAGAAATGCGTCATGACTATATATATGTTGTGGTTCAGTTTTATCCTTGTTTTAAATTTCTGTTCTTTTGTTTCAAACTCATTATCATATATCAACGTACCCAAAAACAAAAGAAAATAAAATTTAAACCGAGGATAAAATTGAACCACAATATATACACCAAATAAACGAGCTAAAAAGAAATTTAATTTGAGATTAATGGCTTGAAATTTATTTTACTTTTTCAGGCCAAACTTGTAGTGGTGGCAATACGTGTTATTATATAACTGACCCGTGCCCATCTGGAACTGAGGATTGCTCTGATCAGTACAGTTGTTCATTGGACACCAATAAATGCTGCTGTAAAAAGGCTCCTGGTAGGTTAGGACCTGATTTAGGGCCTGTTTACATAGAGGTGGGCGACCCCAGGTAGGTGAGGTAACCCACCTGTCCATTATAATCTCTCATTTTAATTTGATCACTTTTACATGTTAGGTGGGGTAACCCGCCACACGTTACCTCACCTACCTGAGGTCCCCCACCTCCGTGTGACTACAAAAATGATTTGGAATTCTCTTTAAATATTTTCATGCTAAAAGAATCAAAACGTTTTTATTCAAAAATTCGCAGTTGGAATTAAGATATATACCGACTTGCCATTCCTGCTTAGAAGGATCTATTTGCCATTTACAATATACAGTCATGTTTAGAATACACTGAGAACGCTATTGAATTGCTTGTGGTAATTTTTTTTTCTCAAAACTCCTATCCGCGGGCGAGGGTTTAAGTATTGGCTTTAAGAAACTGAAAACAAGACAAATTTATGTATTAACTCCAGAAAGCATTTTGCCTGAAAAAATAACAGACATTTATCGACGCCACAACTCGTTTCCTCGCGAAATGACGTCTGAGCAGCGACTGCAGAAACTTCATACCGATGACGTGTCACTACTTAGAACTATGTAGTGCTTCTGATTGGTTGTGCCGCGAGAGAAATTTGCTTCAACCAATTGAAAGCACTACCCAGATCCGGGTAGTAATATGTGATCAGTATGGAATTTATACAGTAATTGCTCAGATATCATTTCGCGGGAAACCAGTGGTGGCTTGGCGAAATATCGGCTGTTTTCCCAGGCTAGGAGGTATTCAAAACGGCATCAGAAAGACAGAACTAAATATACAATTTGGTATTTCCCAGTTATTCAGAACAATGAATTGATCATTCAGGTCTAACAAAAATTGATCGTTAAGGGCTGCTATTTAATTAATTAGAGTATAAGAGGCATTTTTTTTCTAAAATTTACGTCAGTAGTAACAGTTACTAAGAAAATTACCTTTTGTTATTCTGCGCAGGTTGTCCAGATGGCTGGGTAGAATTTGAATCTCTTTGCTACTTTTACGTCAACAAAGGCGAGATGGGAATGAGTCAAGGCCAAGAAGAATGCCAACAATTGGGAGCCAATCTCCCAGTTATCAAATCACCAACAGAAAACCAGTTCCTTCTAAGTTTTGTAGAAGGAGAACCATGGCTCGGAATGGAAGCATCCAATGGTGACAACGATTTCAAGTGGGTAGATGGAACGTCAGTGTGGGAGACCTTCTCTGAATGGGCTCCGGGTGAGCCTAACTATCCTGGAGTAGACGAGAACTGTGCGTACATGTACGTAAGCGGAGGTAAAGAAGGAGAGTGGAATAACAATCCCTGTGATCAGCTCCATCATGTTGTTTGCCAAAAGCAGAAGTGACGTGCTCATCTCACTCTTCTGTGAAGATCAATCTACGTGCTAGACTCACATGTAGACTTGTAGTTGGCGATGTATGCTGAAATAAAGTTGTTGGGATATATTACGTGTCGTAGAAAATCTTTTGCTTTGTTTTTGCATAATTCATACCGGTCACGAAACCCTTTTCAACACGACGGAGCACTCTTTTCAAGCACTCAAAGCATTTTTCAAGTACTCAAAGCCCCACTTCCCCAGCTACCCTGCGTACCGTCAACGCTCTGTTATTTCAGTAAGCCGTAATAAACGTTCCATTTAGGAAGGTGGGGTGGGGGAGGAGGGTTACACTGGACACAACATTCCCAAAACCTATCCTTTAATAACGAGTACCATTGTAGCTATGATTGGTGCGGTGAACATTAGCATTTCAATTACTCATTTGGTATTTACATACCCTTTTAAGTCTCATTACCTCTAAGTTTCCCAAGCGCAGTGAGTTCTGTCGTAGTGTTGGTTGAGAACCTCTTTAATGATAGTGTTTTTGATTGTATTCTACGGTAGTGTTATATTCAAATTTTTAAGCCCTCCAGAAGGCTAGGGACCTCCGTTGTAAATGAGGGCTTTTGGAATCTAATGGTTATGTTATGTTTCTACATAAACCTTAGGCAATTTGCAGAAAATGATCTAACAGACACTCCTTTTTAAAAAATAAAGATTTGTACGACAGATCATGACGTTCAAACTCTTCAAATTTTATTCCTTTCTCTTGGCTAAACATTGCTTGATTCAACATTGCTAATTTGGTACTAGCAATAGATATTTACGCGAGTCAGGTTTACAGTCAATTGTCACCAGGCTGAGAAATCGACGATTTTGCTTCTTTTTCTGACAAAAAACACTGTACACTGCATCCATGTAGGGATTATTTTTCCTATCTTTTTCTGGACCACGTACATGTAGGCACAATTCTCCACTCCAGGGTTGTTTGGTTCTCCTGTTTTCCATGCAAAAAATGTGGCTGATACCAGTGATACCGGTGTGCCATCGATCCATTTAAAATCATTGTTGCCAGTGGCTTCCATTCCAAGCCATGGTTCTCCAGTTTTCCCCATCAGGTTTTCAAGATCTCGGTTTTCTTCTTCTGATTTGAGCACGTGGCGGTCGCCATCTAACTTCTGACATTATTCTCGAGCCTTCCTTTCTGTCATGCGTCTGTTGTTCATATGACGTAATGTCAGAAGGCTCCGTGTTCAGTCCAGCCCTGTTCACAAGCTAGGGGAGAAAATGATGTTAAAGAGGGGTTAGTTTTATTTGTTTTATTCGAAGACATGGACACCGAGCCTGCAACGTGCAAGCAGTATTTCAATGACGTTGATCATTTAGTTTAGTTTAAGTGAAACTTAATTTTATTTCTTAGTTTTATGCCAATCGATCCGGAATTTCACAACCTTCCTCTCGTTAGACCCATCCTAGTTATATTCTTATTATAATATAGTTTGTAGACATTTCATTTTAAGAATATTTTATAATTGTAATCTATTTACTCTTTTTATTCTCTTTTTAGTCTTATTGGTATTTATTATATAGATACTCATGAAATAACAGGATTTTTCCTTTTACTAAAAAAATCATATCTTCATCGCGCGCAGTGAAGATACTATTTTCATTTTTCACGTGTGAGGATATTGGTGTCGCCATGGTTACTAACATGATTAGCCAATTATTGTCTTTATTTGCGATAGGTGACCACTTTAATTGCACTATTTTGCTGTTTCGAAAATGCTTTATGTAGGAATTTCATCAGTTATAAAAATAAACAGAACATTGCGTGAGAGATACTTTCAGCACGAGAAGATAAAATTCGTATCCCCAAGCGGCCATGTAATATCCTCTATATATACTTACATTTCCTTTTTATTTTTGATTTTTGGTTACGGTACTTAATTTTTTGTTGTTATAAATTGAGGGCCACTAGTTATTCAGTTGAAGTACTGTCCAGTGTTACTCTCCTACTCTCGTTAAATAAAGTTGATGATGATGATGATGATGATTATTAAGGAAACATATGCAGTGTTACAAGCTAGGGGGGAAAATGATATTGAAGAGGGGCAAGTCTTATTCATTTTGTGACCAAACTTTGAGCTAAGTAAGCAACTACTAAAGAAGACAGTTTTTGACTAAAGACACATTGAAAAAAAGGGAAAAAACACCTTGGCTAAGCCCGTTCGGTTATGTCCTTCCAGCAGTCAAAGCAATTCCGCATTTATACTGATCGTCATAACTTATAGAGACATTTATTGATAACTAAACCTACCTCTAGCTTGCACCATAGCAACCAATGTGATTAAACCCGGCGGTGAACAACAGAGACATTGACGAATCTATTTTCAAGAAAATTGCAAATACTTCAGTTCAAGGGAGAACTAAACAAAAAAAAAAATTCAGGAATCCAATTAAAGTATTACTGTTTAAAGGTTGAGGGAAATGAAGACATCTTTAGTATTTCTTGGGTTGTTCTTGTTGTGAATTTTTCAAGTAGGCGTAAACACAATAAGCATTAGGCTGATTTAGCAACAGGACGGGAACGTCAGTTGACGACGGTAAAGCGCACGGAAAGGACTAAACACGACTTCTGGTGCCCAATTTGCCGATCTGTCATTGGTCAAGCCATTTGTTTAATTTGCGCGCGCCGTCGTCAACTGACGTTCCCGTTCTTATTCTTTAAATGAATCTATCATATCTTCAAACATCGTAAACTATCAAGACAGAATATAAGTAACATAAAACGCAACCAACCATTCCCCATATGTCTGTACAAAAACTTTGATGCAGGCTAGTGTAAGATTGTAGCGTAGCACCACACTAGTTTGTGGTAAACACCGTTCTTCGACTAATGCATTACTTCAGTAATCATCTGAAGAACTAAGGTTTAAGTTATACGATATAAACTTCAGTAACTGAAGTTCTAGTTGTCGAGGAGAAATAAATTCTAGCCAAACTGTACTTACTCTTCGGAAATAGGCTGTTCCGGAGATTGCCAAATGCAGCAGCGTTGAAAAGAAGTGCAGAGGCGGTTACCCGTTCCCGTTTATAGACAGTTATTAAAAGTGAACTTATCAAAGCAGAATGAAACTAAATCGGGTTCATTCATGCTGGTAAAAATGTGATGGACTGATTTGCCATTCCCACGACTAATTTTAGCTGTATTTCTTGTTTGAAGGAGAAAAGCTACTAATTGTAATCAACGTGTATTGTTTGAAAGCTTGAGGATTACGTAACCATTTGAACTGTCTTTTTAATGGAGATTCTGATAGAAAATTGAGCGACATGATTTTTATGGCCTATGCATAGTTAATTAAGTGCAACGGTGATCAAGCTTATCAGACTTCTTTGTTAAATGTGCTTGTTAGCTTTTTGGACCTGATCGTGCACAATGTTCAATAGCATTCCCCTGTGATTTTGAATTTACTGACCAATCGGAAACGCTTGATTAATTTATTCTGACATTGTTTAATCTGTGAAAGGAATGAACCCAGGGGTCATTTCAAAAGTAGGTTGAGTTTGATCGTCCGGATGAACGTAGTCCTGAATAGGACTGTTGTTGTTGACAGTGACTGACGTTTCGACAACCTGTGCGGTAGTCATCTTCAGAGTCAAAGTGAGTTGTATCACGTCAGTTGATGGTATTATACCCTGGTTATTGATCTGATTGGTCAATTACGTCGCGATGTTATTGGTCGTCTGTCAGTTAAGCCGTGATGTTATTGGCTATGACGACTGGTAATCAGTAACTGGTGCGTTTCGATCCGTCTATTGTCACAGTCAAACAGTCGTCCATTGTTGGTCAAATTGTCAGTTCTCCAGTCGTTCTCTCGTAGTTAGTTAGCCATTTTATAACTGACGGTCGGTATTTTTTAATGCTGGTTTATTGATGACTTTCAAGAAAATCATATATTCGCTTTCCAGTTTCCTTGTCTTATCCCTTACGGATTAAAATTCATTATCTTGTGTTACTCAGTCTCTTTCGTTTCACTGGCAGCTGTTTCTGAAAAGAAAAAGAAAAAACAAAACGGAATATGGATTAAAGTTTGGTCTTTCCCCAACTGTACATGTGCATGCGTGCATAGAATATTAAACTTATATTTGCGCGTAGCAGCCGTGTTTAATGGCGGCTTAAGTAACTCTTAAGTAGATCTGAAGGTTATTATGTCGCAAATCTTAAGGCATCTCCTCTCTTATGAGAATGGGTCCTTTGTTACTGATCAGTCACGTTGACTTGTTAGAACTGAAATACCACGCTGCTCTGGAGGATCCCTAATACGTTTCTCGGGATTTCCCTTATTTGAAGTTCAGGGTTCGGGATTTGAAAGCAAAATCAGGGCGAGTTTCGGGATTGAAAACATGCGCGGGAGGTGAGATACCAAAAAAAACCCTCGAGATTACGGGATTGCACGAAATTTTGAGTCACAGGATTGAAGAACTCTATTGGGGACCTCGCTTCGGAGAGTCTTGTCGCCCAGGTCGTTTCTTAGTCCTAAACATTTTTTGTTCCACGTAACTAACCAGCTGTAAGGATCTCATTACTAACAGCTTACCGGTGGTACAACACTTTAAAGTTTTCAGGAAGCACTCCTTCCTAAGATTCTTCTTTGTACCCGCTGGGCAGGCAGCCGCTTCTTTATAGCAACCCTCATTTGTTCCCAAACACGTTGCTCCTGAGAAGAAATAATTCTGTGATAAGTTTACCTCGACAGTATTCGCCTTGGTAATACCCGGCTAAAACACGTGAAAATAAGAAATTTAAAACCCACAAAGAAGACCAAACTGGGCGAAGATTAAGCGTTATTTGACCACTTATTAAAAGATATCTTGCTAAGACAGGTAGGCAAAAAGAGCTATAATACTTCATATGGAAAAAAAATCTTTGTAGGTGCACCCTGCTGCTGTCATCATAACGTATTTAGCCTACTTCGCAGCCGTTTTGTCTCGTCAAAAACGACTTTGTAGGAGACTATAACTTTGGGGGAAAAAGTAATCTTGAATTTTTCTTCTTATTTTTGGCATCTCGAAGAGGGCTGCTCAGTTTGACTTTTAACAAGTCAAAGAAATTAATTATTGAATAATAAAGCTTGAGTTGGGTACTGGTGGCTTTTTTCGAACTTTTGGCTGAACAACTTTTTTTCATACCGTATTTATTCGAACAAGCCCCCAACCTCGAATTAGCGCCCACCTCGAATAAGCGCCCATCCTGAAGGTAGAAAAACTTAATAAGCGCCCAGCCTCGAATAAACGCCCGCCCCCACCCCACCACCCTCCCACTCCCACTAAAACGTACATAAGCGCCCACCCCCTTCCCCCTACCACCCCCAAAAGAGGAACAAGTACTAACAAGAGACTTTCCCGAAGACGGAGTTTTCTTCAGAATGTTTTGCAGAAACATTGCATTGTTACATCTTCGCGTTTTGTTATTACCATTTACTGTTTTGTTGCAAATTATACATACTACACTTGTTGAAAATGGTGAAAAATTAATAAGCCCCCAGCCTCGAATAAGCACCCAGCCTCGAATAAGCGCCCACTCTCAAGGTCCAAAAATTTAATAAGCGCCCAGGGCGGTTAATCGAATAAATACGGTATTTAATTACTTACTGGGGAACTTGATCCACGTATAAGCCGGTAAATAATTGTTATAATAAAACGTTAAATACTTGTCGTCCCACGCGGGCTTCACACCAATCTGGAACAAAGCAGACTATAAGTGAATACGTGTAACTAACCAACTTTTGAAGCTTAATTTTTAAACTGTGCTTCATTGCAGGTGAGCGTCAGAGAAAACACAATATCATTTTATATATAGAGAAATAATATCCAGAATCATTTTTCGCATGCACGAACGAAAGCACGCGCATTTGGTTTGTTGTTATCCGAGATACACGCATTCTCGTCCCCAGAGCCACTCGGCTTAATTTGTTTCAAGAACACGCACCCCCCGGAACCTTCATTAAACATGTCAATCAGTATCAGTTGGCCATTTCCCAAGGGTGACCATGGTTTGAATGTAATCACTTACGGAATCAAAGCCCCATGCAGCAGACACGCCATTGGATACCGTGTCATCACGCATAACTTCAAATCCGAGCACTGTTCCAACATCTTTGGCATAGACTTTAAAGTCGTCTACACTACAGGGAAATTTGAAAAGAATTGAAATTTACAAATTTATCAATTTAAACCAGGATATCGTAAGGTTATTATTAGCCTGGCTGCCGTGTCTGAAATGTAGGCCGTCCACAGTCCCCTCCACCCCTGTCTCTATTCCCGCGCCCCCACGAGGTAGGGGGTGGAGACGGCAGACATTTCCGACTAAGTTTCCATCAAATCTTCGTATTCGTTTCCATCACCTATAGCTAGATGTTCTCTGGCAGGGACAATTGAAAAGTTGCAGACAATCATATGAAAACTAGCCTGGACAGCGTTTAAAGACGAAGTTACAGCGACCATATTGGTTTTTCGAAACAATGAAATAGCGGCCATGTTAGTGTACAGGGCCAATCCCGTGGAAGTTGAACTTTTTTGCTACGTAAGAGCGTCTTCTGTCCGAATAAATCTGCATTTATTCTGGCCTCTTGAGGAAAATTGCTCAGTAGACTTCAGTTCAATTAGTGAAGGAATCAGTCAAAGAAGAAATTGTGGTTAGATTAAACTGTGGTGCTTCTTCGGTGGGATCGGGAAAAACAAAACTTTGGTATGATCAACTAAGCAGTTAACCCCTTAAGTCTCGACAGTGACCAACATCAATTTTCTCCTGACAATATCCATATGTTACTAAGAGAAATGATTATGAGAGGCAATAAAATGATCACTAAAGAGAAAATGCTTTGATCTGTTAACAAACCCTCTTAACTAATTCTTTAAAGAAAAGTATGAAGATCAGTATGAAGAATTTATAAGTGGATATTGGTGCTTAAAGGGTTAAAGAAAATTCAGGGTGTGTCTGCGCGCACGTGCGTATCTGTAATTAAGTCAATGATTCATATTAGATAAGAAAATGTGCGATCTTTTCTCATTATTTCTCTCTCACCCTATTCATAAAAGAGATTGTTATAAATACTGTGGGTATTGGTTTGCAAATTCCAAAGGATATAGCGTTTGTTTTTTTGCTTTTAGGCAACCCTGTTCTTGTATAGGACAGTTGATGATCGATCAGCCTAGAGGAAAAATTGTCTTCTGTACATACCCTACACTATAGCTTTTCGGGCCAACGCGAAAAGCTACCCAGTACATGATGAACACCTATCCGATATGTCACTCTCCACTTTAGTGATCTTTGGTTTTGAAATTATACCACTTTGAAAACGAGAAGGGGAAGAGAGTCGAAATGTGTTTCGCAATTCTATCTGTGATTATTCTGCTGGGCACGCGCTGGTCAGCTATCCCTGTGCCCTGTTTACTCATTCGAGTTTCATACCATACCTTTATTACCCGAATATATGATCATTGTGAGTTAAAGGTCACAATAACGTGCGAGACTTACCCTCCTTGTTGAAAGTCATCTTTCCCAGGGTTATCCAAGAGTATTTTCCTGGTGACGCCCTTCACGCCACGTATTATGATCCAAATATTGGCGTTACTGTCAGCTCCAACAACATCTGAAGTACCGGTTTTAATATCGTACTCTGAAGTTAGAAGAATATAGTACCATATTAACTGATGCCATCTTACACTGTTACGAATACAAACTAAAAAAAGAGTTGCTTTGTTAGTAGCCTTACCACTTGCCCAAGTAATTCATTCAAAGCTCATATATCATTTTTTGGAAGGGGGGGGGGTTGGGGGCGCTCCAAAGGGTACTCCCTATAATGGCCTATACGGGGAGTCTCTGCCCGAGAGGGGTACCTTTGTCAGGTCTCAGCCATAGGAAAGGGAAGGGAAATCTGTCATTTCATTCTTTACTATGACCTAAAAGGGCTACAGAAGGATTGTATGGTTGTGAAGATGTCGACAAAATTTTCTGGTTTTGTGATTTTTTCATATTTAACCCATTCGCTCCTGGAGATTTTGCCCAAAAACGCGTTTTGAGGCTAGTCGAGTGGTTTTCTGGTCACTGTCGTGCTATAAAGAGCTAAAACTTACCACAAACCGGTTTACAGGTTGTACACTTGGCGGCCTTCTGATCCAGATGCAAAATATCAGCTTGCGAAGTTCGGGCATGCGCAGAAAGCAAAATTTCGACAGTTTTTGGGTTTAAAAGTGACACAGCAGTCTTGACTTTTACTTTTCGCTTTCTCTCCTCCCTTCTTTTTTCGCTTTTCTTGCCTCATTTTTTTTTCTCTTGCTGGACATTTAGTAGGCTTCATTTTGGTGGGAAGAGTTTTTAGGAAAGCTTTTAGGATCATAGGATTAGGTGAAAGGAAAGGTAGGTGGGTAGTGGAACAAGATTTTCATGGAGATTTTCAGGTCCTTGTCACGTGGTTTTTTGCTTCTTTCTCTGGTGTCCTTGACTGAATTGTGCTCATTCTGGTATGGTTTGAAAGATCTCTTCACTCTGCACAAGTTAGCGAAGAAAGTTGTCCTTGACCGTTAAAACTGATGACGTCACAAAGGGTAGAAAGGACCTGGATCCGCACGGGCGGTTACGGGCGGTTCAGGGGGGAATGGGTTAAAAGGCAGCACATTTATAGCAGTTAAGAGGGATGCAAAGTTATAAACTATGTCAGTAAAATGAGCGCCATTGTCAATGGAAGGTATACGAAAGGGGTCTCTTTTCTGTCAAATATGGTATATAAAAGGGTAAGGGGTTGGACCTCGGGGCGGAGCCCCCCCGGGGGGGGGGTGGAGCGAGCAGGCACGGTTTTTAAGGGGCGTAGCCAGGATTTTTCCAGAGGTACCCACAAATTTCCAAAACCTCTCCCCCAAACTCCTTAAAGCCCCAAATATTTTTCTGGTTCCTTGATTAAAGGTGAGGTTTCGTTTTAAGCGTTTTTTACTGTATATGAAGTGATGAAATGATGCCTTTTTTTGGATCATCGACTGAAAAACCACAATCATTCATCATTGATTCATCTTACAAGCTAGTATCTCAATCATTCATTTTTCATTCATTATTACCACGTTGGATATGAACGCCTGTATTTGACGTTTTCTTAATTTTGCCGTGTTAAGTCCACTGCGAAGACAGGCCGAAGTGAAGACAACGATTTCACACTTTATACCACGCAACCTTGCTATCTACGCGCTGTTTACGATTGAGAGTGAATAAATTGAGTGAAACTGTGCTTTTTTCATAATAATCTTTTACATATTTGCTTTTCTATATTCTCTTTTATTTTTATTTTTTACCTTCGACTTTTTCAGGGATGCGCGTGCGTACCGTGCGTACTGGTAGCTACGCCCCTTGTTCTCATTTCTGTGTGTAAAGTTGGTATATCTCTTTGGGTCTTTAGGGTGGAAAGACAAAATATTATGTCGATAGCTATCGCGTAAGATTGTGCTTGTAGAAATAAAGAAGCAGAAGTGGACAATTTTATCGTATTCAATTTATTCTGGCTCCTGTTTAACTGTCTGGATAAGAATGGTATCTTAGATGGGTAAGAAAAGCTTGGTCCACGCCCACATTTATAGGGGCACCTACTCCCCTCTAACATGAAAGTGTCCCTCGGGAAAATTCAATTATGTACCTACCAGTTAATTTTGCATGAGTCAAAGAAATTACAAGTACCAACAGGGCGAACAGAGAGTACTTCATGGTTTAAAGACAAACTGAAAAAATAAGACAAACAAATTTATTCTTTCGTCGTTAAGAGTTTGGAAGTTTAAGGAACAAGTTATCATTAACTTCTTACATGTTCAACAGCTTTTTACTAATTGTGAACATATTCTGCTGATTGGCGCTGTTTTCACTGATAAAATGAAACTCCTGTCGGGATTTTTTCATCAGAAAACTTAGTCGATTCCTACTGACTTTGAATAAATTGAAGTCGGCAGGAAGTACGCCTCCAAGTATGTTCGGCAGACCGTTTATGGCACTTTGTAGCTTTAATGCTGTCTCTAAACCATAGAACACGTGGACCAGTTGTTATTGACTTGATATTTAAGAGGAGCATACTTATCAAGAATCGTAGACAAGGTAAAGTTGAAGGGCAGATAACAGATATGGGAGCATTAATTTGGAAAAAAATTATAATAAAATTGTCAGAAATAACAAAGAAATATGATTTAACTACAATCCAGGCATAACTGACACACATTCCACACGTTATATTTTGTAGTTGTTGTTGTTTTTATAATGTCTTTTTCTTCTACCAAAAATTATTCACTTAATTTGACTTTATTTAAATCTGTGTTAGGCTTCTGGTTATGGCAGTAACTGCAAAACCTTCGCCGCATTGCTTTTCGATTTTAAAATGTGAAAGATTCGAGCTAACTAAAAATGCGGAACGTATCATTTGTAGTAAGATATAAAATTCTTCCTGGCTTAGACAATTCTTTAAACAGACGGGAGGGCGTTTTATGTTTACACGGAATTACAAGTCGAATTAAGTTGAGAACTTGTCAGTCTTATGTTAGTACATGTATCGTCTTACAGTGCATGTTTGCAGTTAATAAATCATTTTCTTTCTTGTTCTTGTTCATGTCCTTTTTTTAAAAGAACGCTCCAGTGAGCAAAAATAAAGATGTGAGGACAAGGCTCGGGTCAGGGACGATTTCATACAAATCACTCCATTTTGTCCATCCCAGCCTCGTTTCCCGAGGGCGACGGTCTAATCAGAATTGAAGTTCGACTATGTACTTCTTTTTTTAAATTATGTAATGCGTTATTACACGGCAGAGAAACGTATACATATTACTGAAAAAAACAAACAAACAAACAAACAAACAAAAAAACGAGAAATACAGACCTGTGTAATTACATGATGACATGTAAAACAACGGATAAAACTGACCATTACGTGGAATACCTGAGGTTTAGTTTACCCTTGAAATTGCTTAGCTACTTACATAGTTTTGTTTTGTCAATAAAAAGGAAAAGAGGAAAAGGTGGTTGGTTTAACTTTTCAGGACGCGTATGCGTAACAAAGCGATTAGCTAGAGGGTAACAGGTGTAAGCCAACAAATTTAATAGGGAAAAGTTTCCATTCGTTTGAAAAGGCGGTCAAAGAATTACAATGTGGTGGAGTTTAGCTTAACCTTAAACCGTGAACCTACCTCTTCCTGTTAGATGCTTCAAAATTAGTAGTGGAAGTTTCGGTCCTCGCAGTGCAGATATGCTCTTCACAATGAGTTTATAACATTCAAATGCATTTTATTCATAAGGTGACAAAAAAAAAAATCAACTCATGATCATATTTTAAAGTTGTACGTCCAATGAAAACGAAGTGCTTGATGTCCTATGCAAGTATGTTATCGTGCATAACATTTCCTTAAAAACCTTTGTCATAATCGATAATTATATAAAGGTAGATTGAACAGAAACTGAGCAAGGTTTTGTACCTAAAAAGCGGTTATAGACTGGAAATGCCATTAGTCAAGTTTAAAGGCAGAATTTTCTTTTTCATCTCTTAACGGTACGTAAGCGATGCATCAAAGCAAAAGAAGTCGTGGTAAATTATTTCTTGCAACGATAGCGTAACATTCTTCCGTAGATTTTTTAAATCAGTTTTGCACCTGTCGATTGTCTCAAACTTTTTTATCGCTGGATTCTTTTTTTTCCTTTTAACTAATATTTTTAGTACAATTTTATGCTGGCAGATGTATAAACCGTGATAACGTAATACATTAAGATCGCGTTGCTTTGGTGACCATGATAGCCAGAATTTGAATATGTAGCCATGCAGAATATGTCCCGGATGAGAGAGCAAAAGTACGGGTCGGGTCTTTAGTTTACTGACGGAAGGAGCCGTGTAAAACTATCTGTTTCAGTCGACATATATTCTTAGTCTATTTACTATTGTTTTCTCCCATTCTACAGGATTACCATATTTCGGAAAGATTTCAGAAGGCAACCAAGCGCGGCAAATTCTCGCGTGCTACATGGGGACTTGATGTTGTCATGCTAAACTCGAGACAATAGGAAGTCCCAGAGCAAAAACTTAGCCAGATTTATGACATCGCTTCAATATTTACTCACTTGTTTGCCCTTAAACGCGACGTTTCAACCGCGTACTGCAGGTCTTCATCAGGCGATAGAGTCGATTTACTGAGTAGGACTAATTGTTCCACTGTGGTTGTTAGTTCGTGAATGGTTGCTGGGTTTTGTACAATCAAAGTATTGTTGGCATTATCAGAGGAGGAAAATGTGCCCTCAGCGGTCCGCAGTGGCACAGCCAACTTACTAACTTATACTCACTGTACGTTTCCGTGTGTTCGTTGCCTTCGAAAACCTACTGCCCTTTTGTTGCCTCTAGGGTGCAGTCTCTGCTGCTTCTCTCATTGAGCTTTTTTTTCTGATCCTATCGACGCTACTTAAGGTACCCCTGCTTTCAATCTATCTATAGGACCGGTGAAAGGATTTGTAAATTGTATAGCCATTTTATAACTGACGGTCGGTATTTTTTAATGTTGGTTTATTGATGACTTTCAAGAAAATCATATATTCACGCTTAGAATAACCCTTAAGCTCGCTTGAAACCCCACGGAAATTAAACTGAATCGCTTTCCAGTTTCCTTGTCTTATCCCTTACGGATTAAAATTCATTAGCTTGCGTTACTCAGTCTCTTTCGTTTCACTGGCAGCTGTTTCTGAAAAAAACAAACAAACAAACAAACAAAACAAAACAAAACAAAAAATAAAAACATAAAATGGATTAAAGTTTGGTCTTTCCCTAACTGTACCTGCGCATGTGTACATAGCATACCAAACTTTTTTTTGCGCATAGAAGATAACCGTAAGGAGTAGCAGCCGTGTTTAATGGCGGCTTAAGTAACTCTTAAGTAAATCTGAAGTTTATTATGTAGCAAATCTTAAGGTATCTCCTCTCTTGTCAGAATGGGTCCTTTGTTACTGATTAGTCACGTTGTTAATTGACTTGTTAGAACTGAAATACCACGCTGCTTTGGAGGATCCCTAATACGTTTTTCGGGATTTCCCTCAATTTGAATCTAGGGATTCGGGATTTGAAAGCAAAATCAGAGCGAGTTTCGGGATTGAAATATGCGCGGGAGGTGGGATGCCAAAAAAAACCCCTCGTGATTACGGGATTGTACGAAATTTTGAGTCAAGATTACAGGATTTAAGAACTCTATTGGGGACCTTGCTTCGGAGAGTCTTGTCGCCCAGGTCGTTTTTTAGTCCTTAACAGTGTTTGTTCCTCATGACTAACCAGCTGTAAGGATCTCATTACTAACAGCTTACCGGTGATACAACACTTTAAAGTTTTCAAGAAGCATTCCTTCCCAGAATTCTCCTTTGTACCCGCTGGGCAGGCAGCCGCTTCTTTATAGCAAGCCTCATTTGTTCCCAAGCACGTTGCCCCTGAGATGAAATTATTCTGTAATAAGTTTACCTGGACAGTATTTGCTTGGGTAACAACGACTAAAGCATGTGAAAATAAGAAATTTAAAACCCACAAAGAAGACCAAACTAGGCGAAGCTTAAGCGTTATGTGACCACTTATTAAAAGATATCTTGCCAAGACAGGTAGGCAAAAAGAACTATAATAATTTTAATTCAGATAAAGGAGTTGCCATTGAGTTTTTTCCATTCTCTTCGTCTTCTTTCATTGAATTCTTCACCGCTTAAGGAACTGCGTACAAAAAATTATTTTTCTTGCCAGCTCGCAAACCGCTTCTCCCGGCCGCACCCTTAGGTAGATTTGATCCTCTTCCCAAAGTTACACTCTCATTTGGAACAAAGATGCCTGCCAGTTGCATTAAGCCTCTTTGTTAACGATGTTACAGAGAAATGGAAGACTGCAAACAGTCCACTTTAATAGGAATTTAAGGCGGTTTTCTTGGCCGCCAATTAAAATACTTCATATGGAAAAAAAATCTTTGTAGGTGCGACATGCTGCAGGGGAAAAAAACATATTTTATCGTCATGATAACGTTTTTAGCCTACTTTGCAGCCGTTTTGTCTCGTCAAAAACGGCTTTGTAGGAGACTAAAACTTTTTGGAAAAAAATAATCTTGAATTTTTCTCTCTATTTTTGGCATCTCGAAGAGGTCTGCTCAGTTTGACTTTTGACAAATCATAGAAATTTATTATTGAACAATAATTTTGAGTTGGATACTGGTAGCTTTTTTCGAACTTTTGGCTGAACAATTATTTTTGACATTTAATTACTTACTGGGGAACTCGATCCACGTATAAGCCGGTAAAAAAAAGTTATAATAAAACGTCAAATAATATTCGTCAAACGAAGGCTTCACACCAATCTGGAACAAAGCAGAATATAAGTGAATACTGACATGTAACTATCCAACTTAAGAAGCTAAACTTTTCAACTGTGCTTCATTGCAGGTGAGCGTCAGCGAGAAAACACAGTATCATTTTATACTATAGAAAAAAAATATCCAGAATCATTTTTCGCAGGTACGATCGTAAGCGTTCGCCTTTGTTTTGTTGTTATCTGAGATACGCGCATTCTCGTCCCCAGAGCCACTCGGCTTAATTTGTAACCTGCATTAAACATATCAATCTGTATGCCATTTCCCAAGGCTGACCATGGTTTGACTGTAATCACTTACGGAATCAAAGCCCCACGTAGCAGACACGCCATTGGATACCGTGTCATCACGCATAACTTCAAATCCGGTCATTGCTCCAACATCGTCGGCACAGACTTTAAAATCGTCTACACTGCAGGGAAATTTGAAAAGAATTGAAACTTACAAATTTGCCGATTTAAACCAAGATATCGTTATTATTAGCCTGTTTTTACTTCGGCGGAGCGGCAAGTAAAGGATTCGCGACCCTCAGGAATATTAATGTATCAAAGTTGACATTTTTGGGACAAGATTGGGCACGCAGCGTCTGTAGGTTTTCGGTTTTATTCGCCTATTTGACAAAGTGAGAGCCGAATTCGTTCGGAATATCTCGAGATCACTGACCCACTCACCTGGGAGTCTAACTTGAAGGATTAGCCGATTGCGCTACTGCGACCCAAGGTAGTTCGACATATGAAAAATAGCTATGAAATTATGCACTAGTTTAGGGACAAGATTGAGCGCGCAAGTTCGTGACTTTTCGGCTTGTTTCAGTTATTTCACGAAATGAGGCCGGACTACTTCGTGATATCTTGAGATCACTTCTAGTTTAGTCTTTAATTTACTCGAGGAATAAATAGAGGATATTACATGGCCGCACAGAGACACGAAATTTCTCTTGGAGTGTTGAAAAACATTTCACGAGTGAGCGCTCCTTTCGAACTGCTTTATGATGAATTGAAAGTTACAAAATGCTGCACAAAGACGTTTTGTCTTTGTTGAGTGTTACGTGCCTGTGCACAACCACGACGCCGAAGTGTACGCTCCATAGCGTCTTGTTGTGTCTGAAATGTCGGCCGTCCTCTGTCCCCTCCCCCCCCTTCTCTATTCGCCCCCCCCCCCCAATGGGTTAGGGGGTGGAGACCGCAGAAATTTCCGAATAAGTTTCTATCAAATCTTCTTGAACGGAACCGGACTCGAAATGTGTTTCGCAATTCTATCTGTGATTGTTCAACCGGGCACGCGCCGGTCAGCTATCCTTGTGCCCGGTAACAGCCCTTGAAGTCTTTTCGAAAGTTTACTCATTCGAGTTTCCTTCTCGTGAACATGTAATCATTGCGAGTTGTAGACAACAATAACGTGCGGGACTTACGCTCCTTGTTGAAAGTCATCTTTCCCAGGGTTATCCAAGAGTAATTTCGGGGTTATGCCCTTCAGCCCATATATTTTGATCCAAATATTGGCGTTACTGTCAGCTCCAACATCATCTGAAGTACCGGTTTTAATATCGTACTCTGAAGTTAGAAGAATATAGTACCATATTAACTAATGCTATCGCAAACTGTTACTAATACATAATAAAAAATTAAAAAAAAAAAAAAAAAAAAAGTTGTTTTGCTAGTAGCCTTACCAAGAGCCCATATGCCCATAGTAATTCATTCAAAGCTCATATATAATTTCTTGGGGTGGGGGTGAGGGGAAGGGTCGAAAGGGTACTCCCTATAATGGCCTATACGGGAAGTCTCTGCCCGAAAGGGTTTTTGGTTTTGTGATTTTTTCATATTTATTCAGTTAAAGAGGTGCAAAGTTTTAAACTGGCTATGTAGGTAAAATGGGAAAAACTGTTTGAATACAGAGGTTCAAGCAAAGGGTGAATATAACTCACTGGTTCCTCTTGCCGAATCTCTAACTAGTAAAGAGATGCTGTTGCCAGACGTTACTTAAAGTGTAAAATAAAACAAAACTGAAGAAGGGCTGGTACTAGGGTGATAAATATACCATTGGTGGGGAGGACGTTGATTTCATCAAGTATGCTGAGAAGATGGGTAGTGTTTTTAACGTAGAAGGTAGCAGCTGTACCAGATAACATAACATAACATAATTTATATAGCGCTAACTCCACTAATTTACCAAAGCGCTTTACAATTCATAATATTAAAATAATTAAAAAGATCCCACTGGTAATAAAATATGAATAAATTAAAAACCTATTAGCAGTCTTATTTATAAAAATATCACAATAAATCCTATTCTAAATTATCAAAAAGTTAAACATTATATGCTTTTTTAAAAAGATCAGTCTTTAAGTGTTTCTTGAATAAATTAATTGTAACTAAACTTCTAAGATCTAATGGCAGCTCATTCCAGAGTTTAGGTGCAGCAACGGAAAAGGCCCTGTCTCCGTATGTTTTAAGTCTGGACTTCGGAACTGCCAGAAGTTTTTTATCAGTAGAGCGTAGCGTACGTGAACATGTACGATAACTAAGTAATTCCGTGATATATAATGGTGCCATACCATTTAGCGCCTTATAAACTTACAATAAAAACTTACAATTAAAAAGAATCCGAAAGTGAACAGGTAACCAATGCAGTTGAATCAATACAGGGGTGATATGATCAAATTTCTTGGTTAAAGTAACGATACGAGCAGCCGTGTTTTGCACAGACTGCAAACTACCTATCATATGCTTAGGGAGGCCATACAATAAAGAGTTACAATAGTCTAGTTTAGAAGTAACAAACGCATGAACAAGGGATTAAGATGGCAACTAACAAAGTCTGATATCCTTTCCGTGGGATTTCCATTGGCCCTGAGGAAGGCTAATTTTGTTGGCCGAAATATTGGCCTATAATAAATCAGCCCTTGGCCGTAGTGCCAGCCTTGCATTCAGTTTTCTTTTAAGTAAACTGGGTACCATTTGTCAATGGAAAGCATACGAAAGGGGTTCCTTTCTGTCAAAAATGGTATATAAAAGGGTAAGGGGTTGGACCGCGGGGCGGAGCCTCCCGACGAAAACTTTGTTGGGTAACTCCCCCGGGAGGAGCGGGCAGGCTCAGTTCTCGTTTCGGTGTGTAAAGTTGGTATATCTCTTGGGGTGTTTAGGATGAAAAGACAAAATCATTCCGTCGATAGGTATCGCGTAAGATTGTGCTTGAAGAAATGGAGAAGTAGAAGTGAACAGTTTTTATCGTATGAAATTCATCATAGCTCCTGTTTAACTGTCTGTATAAGAATGGTATCTTAGAGGGGTAAGAAAAGCTTGGTCCACGCCCACATTTATAGGGGCACCTACTCCCCTTTCACATGAAAATGTCCCTGGGGAAATTTCAATTATGTACCTACCAGTTAATTTTGCATGAGTCAAAGAAATTACAAGTACCAACAGGGCGAACGAAGAGTACTTCATGGTTTAAAGACAAAACTGAAAGAAACAAGACAAACAAATTTATTCTTCCGTCGTTAATAGTTTTCCTTATAATTGAAAGTTTAAGGAACAAATTATCATTAACTTCTTCTTGCATGTTCAACAGCTTTTTACTAATTGTGAACATCTTCCGCTGATCGGTGCTGATTTTATTGATAAAATGATTCTCATGCCGGGATTGGCTATAACTTTGGCATAGATAATGGCGCTGAATCAAAATTTGTCAGAAATAAAGAACTCATCGTCCTTCACTTTTAATATTGTGTTAATAAGTCATATGTTATGTCACGTAACCATTTTGCTAAAAATCTTAAATTATTGACCAATTGGCGACCAGTTTAAGAAAAGAAATCTAGCAATAACATTTTTCTAATTCATATTAAATATTTCTAACACTTCACGTTCGAAATGACCGTCCATTGCACTTCAATAAAAAATTATGAGTGAAAACATTTTAAATGCCCAACTTTAATCTTGAATTATTTAAAACTTTAATTTTAAACTTCGAGTACATTCATTCCAAACGTAAAAAGTTTTGTATGTTTATCGTCTTTCAGAAATGCCAATTTGTTTATCCAAACAAAGTAAATTCGCCACCAATTCGCCAATTTCCTTTATTTTCAATTTTTGGTCACGTGACATGTCACGTGACCATATCTAAACGCTAAGGCACAAGGAAACCTCAATATTTACTTTTGGAGAAAAATTCATTTTGTTCAAGGTCTCCTAGCGCGAGATACTACCAATCATTCATATGCAGTCCGAACACATCTTTGACTCAGGACTTGAACCCCTTGATTGGATGAAAATATTTATTCATTTTTATGTGGCACAATTGACACACATTCCACAAGTTATAGTTTGCTGTTGATGTTGTTGTTTTTTTAATCTCTTTTTCTCCAAGCAGAAATTATTTATTTAATTTAACTTTTTATTTTAAATTCGAGTCAGGATAACAATGATTTTTTAAAGTTTTTGGCAATACTGAAAAACCTTCGCCGCATCACTCTTCGATTTTTAAAATGTAAAAGACTCGAGCTAACTAAAAATGCGAAATGTATCATTTGTAGGAAGATATAACGAAGAAGACTAGATCAGCATTTGCCTTCTTAAAATAACCCACTCAGGAAGATATCTGAAGATTCAAAGATTCAAAAAATGGCCTTCTAAGTTAGACTTCGTTTAAATAACCGACCCATACTTTTCCCAAGGGCTACGGCCTAATTGAATTGAAGTTCGACTGGGTACTTACCTCTTCCTGTTAGATGCTTCAAAATTAATATTGGAAGCTTCGGTCCTCGCAGTCCAGAAATGCTTTTCACAATGAATTTTATAACATTCAAATGCGTTGTTTTCATAAGGTGACAAAAAAAAAATCAACTATCATATTTTAATGTTGTACGTCCAATGAAAACGAAGTGCTTAATGTCCTCAGTGCAAGTATGTTATCGTACATAACATTTCCTTAAAAACCTTTGTCATAATCGATAATTATATGAAGGTAGATTGAACAGAAATTGAGCAAGGTTTTGTACCTAAAAAGCAGTTATAGACTGGAAATGCCATTAGTCAAGTTTTAAGGCGGAATTTTCTTTGTCATCTCTTAACAGTACGTAAGCGATGCATAAAAGAAAAAGATGTCGTGGTAAATTATTTCTTGCAACGATAGCGTAACACTCTTCTGCAGATATTTTTTAAATCAGTTTTGCACCTGTTGATTGTCTCAAACTTTATCGCTGGATTCTCTGTGTTTTCATCCTTTTACCCAATATTTTAGTACAGTTTTATGCTTGGAGATGTATACACCGTGATAATGTAACACATTAGATGGCGTTGCTTTGGTGACCATGATGGCCAGAACAGGAATATGTAGCCATGCAGAATATGTCCCGGATGAGAGAGCAGAAGTATGTATGGGTCGGGTCTTTAGTTTACTGAGAAGGAGCCTTGTAAAACTATCTGTTTGAGTCCACATATATTCTTAGTTTATTTACAAATCTCTTCTCTGATCGTGGAGAGGCACATAAGAACCCCCTACTAGGATTTAAGGCTATAGGGGAGACTACTGTTTACACTTTGTTATTCAAATTTGTAACGAATGAAAAAAAAAGAAGAAAGCAAAAGTGAAATCTATTCGCAATTGTTTTCTCCCATTCGACAGCATTACCATATTTCAGAAAGATTTCACAGGGCAACCAAGATAAACTATATGCTTAAGTTGTCATACAAGTTATTGTCAAATCATATCGAAAATAACGATGAAAACATGCCCCGTAAAGGAAGCCATAACCGCTATAACTTTACCATCGATTCTTTTCTTTCAGTTTCTTCCTCTTCAGTACTGACTGAAACATTCGTCCATTAAACGCCTCCGTTGTGTTGCTTATATTTGTGGCTGTAACTCAGGCTATCGGTGAGATGTGTAATATAACAAACACGAGACGAAGAGTCTTCGTCACATATCAAACAACGAGAGGGACGACGAAACTACAACGTGTAGCAGAGTAGAAAGAAATTCGACGGTTTTTGTTGTCTAATAAAAATTATTCGAATGTTTCGAAAAAAATTGAACACACCGCCGCCCTCAAACGAGTCTTACATCACATATCTAAACATAGCATGATTCATTACTTCCTTTGCTCTTTTTCCCCACTTAAAGTTGTTCACCAGATTTGTAAAGACTGCAAAGGAATCACCACCCAGTCAGAACAGAACGCGTTCCTTTATGTTTTTAAGACTGAATGACCTGACTAAAACAGGAATTCAGTTTCACCATAATCCCTTGAAAACAATGTAATTCTTTCTCATGCCTCGTTGGGGTGGTGAGAATACCTGTTATTACATGTAGGGACAATTCTCCACTCCAGGGTTGTTTGGTTCTCCTGTAGTCCATGCAGAAAATGTGGCTGATAACGATGCTCCATCGATCCATTTAAAATCATTGTTTCCAGTGGTTTCCATTCCAAGCCATGGTTCTTCACTTTTCTCCATCGAGTTTGCCACATTGGTTTTCTTTTTCTGATTTGAGAAAGGGTAGGTCGGCACCTGACATTCTTCTCGAGCCTTCCTTTTTGTCATGCGATCTGTTGTTGTTATGACATAGTAACAGAAGGCTACTCGTTCAGTGCAGTCCTGTTCACAAGCTACAGGAGAAAATGATATTGAAGAGGGCTTAGCCTTATTCGTTTTATGACTAGTTCATTATTCTAAAAACATGGCAAAAAATTACGGACAACGATCCCGCGACGTGCAAGCGGTATTCGCGTTAAAAGGAAACATATCCAGTGTTCACAAACTAGGGGGGAAAATGATATTGAAATGGGGTCAATCTTATTTGAGGTTGGAGAAATAGTTTTAGTATTTCTTGAGTAGTTCTTGGTGTTGAATAAAATTTGAGACTGGCGGTAAACACAATGAGGCATTGATTTCTTTAAATGAATCTATCATTACTTCAAACATCCTAAACTATCATGACAGGATATCATTTCAGAATATAAGTAACATAAAACGCAACCAAGCATTCCGCTATATGTCTTAGTGTTACATGTACTAAAAATTTTGACTTAGGCTAGTATAAGATAATAGCTTAGCACCATGTGAGTTTGTGGTAAACATCGTTCTTACCACATCTACTATTATACTTAATCATCTGAATAGCTAACGTTTAAGTTATACGATATAAACTTGAGTAACAGAAGCTCTAGTTGTCGAGGAAAAAACTAAACGTAAAACTTAATACTTACTCTTCGGAAATAGGTTGTTCCGGAGCTCGCCAAATGTAGCAGCGTTGGAAAGACGTGCAGAAAATTGATTGCGATGGTCATTTCTGTGACCAAATTTAGCTGTTTTTCTTGTTTGAACTGAGAAAAACCACCGATTGTAATCAGCGTGTATTGCTGGAGGATTACGTAACGATTTGAACCGTCTTTTGTGTGTAGAGATTTCGATAGAAAATTGAGCGACATGATTTTTATGGCCTATGCATAGTTAATTAAACACAACGGCGATCAAGCTTATCAGGGTTCTTTGGTAAATGTGTTTGTTAGCTTTTTTGGACCTGACCTTGCACAACGTTCAACAGCATTCCTTTGATTTTGAATTTACTGACCAATCGGAAACGCTTCATAAATTTATTCTGACACTATTTAATTTGTTAACAAAACACCAAGGGAAGAAAAGGAGTGGTCAACATAAATTTCAGCGCAGTTGTTTTTGTCTTTGATGTTTGTTGGTTTTCGTAACCAATCTCCTCTATCTTTTTATTATTTGATGGGGTTTGGAGCGCGTAAGTTTCTATACAATGCATAGCCAAATAAACCGCTGAATGAAAATAATGCCTATTGTGCAAAAGATGTAAAGATTACGTCATAATTATTCTCCATCATTTATGCGCTACTTTAATCAGTGCAGCATATAATTAGGCTGATTATTCAATCGCTTTTGTTCTTAGCACTAACCGCGCATGCTCAGCTAGTTGTCAACTTCTTGACCAGTCCACTCTCAGTCATTTGCGTACAAGCGGAGAAATGCAAACGTTTGCTGACTTGTCATGAAAGATAATTTTCACCATGGTTAATGTGTATCAAGGGTTTCGTTAATCGTTTGTCTCACGATTCTGACTTAGATATTGAACGCGACGTTTCGACCGCGTACTGCAGGTCTTCATCAGGCGATAGAGTCGATTTACTGAGTAGGACTATTTATTCCCCTGTGATTGTTAGTTCGTGAATGGTTGGTGGGTTTCGTACCATCAAAGTATTGTTGGTGTTATCAGAGGAGGAAAATGTGCCCTCAGAGGTCCGCAGTGGCACAGTCCCCTTACTGACTTATTCTTACTGTAAGTTCCCGTATGTTCGTTGCTTTTGAAAGCCAACCGCCCTTGTGTTGTGTCTCGGGTGCAGTCCCCACCGCTCCTTGCATTGAGCTTTTTTTTCCTGATCCTATCGACGCCAATAAAGGTGCCCCTACTTTCTATCTATCTATAGGGCCGGTGAAAGGATTTGTTACAGGGTTTTCAGCCTTGATTTTACTGCTGTCTCATTATAGCCATTTTATAATTGACGGTCGGTATTTTTTAATGCCGGTTTATTGATGACTTTCAAGAAAATCATATATTCATGATCATCCTTAGAATAACCCTTAAGCTTGCTTGAAACCCCATGGAAATTAAACTGAATCGCTTTCCAGTTTTTTTGTCTTATCCCTTACGGATTAAAATTCATTAGCTGATGTTACTCAGTCTCCTTCGTTTCACTGGCAGCTGTTTCTGAAAAGAAAAAAAAAAAGAAACAAACAAAAACCGAATATGGATTAAAGTTTGGTCCTTCCCCAACTGTTCCTGCGCATGCGTGCACAGGATATCAAACTTTTTTGCGCGTATAAGATTACCTGCTTTGAAAGCAGAAGCAATATATCCCATAATGACAATAATAATAATAATATAATAATAATAATAATAATAATAATAATGATAATAATAATATCCCTGGAATTTAGTTTAGTGGCAAAATGCAACGCGCGTTTCATTAAAAAAATCAACTAGTCAGAAAGTTATATGCGATCCTGTCGATGTAAGAATTTCAGTCTCAAACTAACGTCAGGTCTGACGTGCAGGGGGGGGGGGAGGGGGGTTTGGGGCCCGGAGCCCCCTGGATCCTCCACTAGTATCTCCTCTCTTATGAGAATGGGTCCTTTGTTACTGATCAGTCATGTTGACTTGTTAGAAGTGAAATACCACTCTGCTCTGGAGGATCCCTAATAAGTTTTTTCGGGATTTCTCTTATCTGAATCTCGGGATTCGGGATTTGAAAGTAAAATTAGGGCGAGCTTCGGGTTTGAAAATATGCGCGGGAGGTGGGATGCTAAAAACCCCCCTCGTAATTACGGGATTGCACGAAATTTTGAATCAAGATTACAGGATTGAAGAACTCTATTGGGGACCTCGCTCCGGAGAGTCTTGTCGCCCAGTTCGTTTCTTAGTCCTTAACATTTTCTGTTCCTCATGACTAACCAGCTGTAAGGGTCTCACTACTAACAGCTTACCGGTGGTACAACACTTTAAAGTTTTCAGGAAGCACTCCTTGCCAGAATTCTCCTTTGTACCCGCTGGGCAGGCAGCTGCTTCTTTATAGCAAGCCTCATTTGTTCCCAAGCATGTAGATCCTGAGAAGAAATTATTCTGTGATAAGTTTACCTCGACAGTATTTGCTTGGCTAACACCCGGCTAAAACATGTGAGAATAAGAAATTCAAAAGAAAAGAAGACCAAACTGGGCGAAGCTTAAGCGTTATTTGACCACTTATTAAAAAATAGCTTCTGAGACAGATAGGCTAAAAGAACTATAATAATTTTAATTTCGATAAAGGAGTTGCCATTGAATTTTTCTTCCGCTCTCTTCTTTTTCCTTCACTGAATTATTTACTGAAAAAAAAGAGCGTGCAAAAAAATATATTTCTTGTCAGCTCTCAAGATCCACGTCCACCCTTTTGCCGCACCCTAAGGTAAATTTGATCCTCATCCCCAGGTCACACTCTCATTTGGAGCCTAGGTTACTGCCAGTTCAGTGTAGCAAGCCTCTTTCTCAACAATCCCACGAAGAAATAAAAGACTGCAAACAGCCCACTTTAACAGGAATTTAAGGTTTTCCCGGCCGCCAATTAAAATACTTCATATAGAAAAACAATCTTTTAAGGCGCACTATGCTGCTGGCGAAAACACATTTTATCGTTATAACGTTTTTAGCCTCCTTCGCAGTCGTTTCGTCTCGTCAAAAAGACTTTGAAGGAGACCATACCGTTTTGGGAAAAAAGGATCTTAAAGTTTTCCTTCTTCTGGCCTCTCAAAGAGGGCAGTTCAGTTTAATTACTCCGGTGAATTAAGGAATGGGTCCTCGTTACATGCGGGGTCTTATAACTTGATCTTTTTTTTCCCAGTATCTTCCTTTATTTTAATCATAGACCGCTGTGTTTAAGACCGGAACTACTTTGGACCTTTAACACTCCCTTTTTAGATCACGTGACCAGCCACGCCCATAATTATGCAAAATTTGGACTTTGCAGATTACACCAGTTTATTGACTGTGACCACAATCGTTTTTCCTTCCATAATATTTCATTTACAGTCAAATAAGCTAAATTAATCGGGGTTTTGTGAAATGATCCATTCCTTCGTAGTTATTAGAAATTTTTGTCGCGTACCAGTCTCCCTCTTAACAAGAAACGTTATAGTTTACAAAAAGTAGATAATTTTAGAAAACCCCGATTAATTCTATAAACTTTGTGTCAATAGTCATTGACAAAAAGTGAATTAAATTACAAGTGTTATTTATAAAGTGGTGTAATTTGGATTGAAATAAATAGTCAAGAATGGGTGTGACAAGTCACGTGACACAGGTAATAAATTAGTAATAATGAAAAATGAATGCTTATTGGGAGTAAATATTGAATTTAAAATATTAATGCGAAAGGTGAAATCCCCACTTGAAATCCCCACTAAAAAAGACCACCCCCCTCCAAATTTGCAGTGCCCCATTCCTTAATTCACAGGAGAACTTTTAACAAGTCAAAGAAATGAATTATTGAATAATAAGCTTGAGTTGAATACTGGTGGCTTTTTTCAAACTTGTGGCAGACCCATATAGTTCCTCATATTTAATTACTTACTGGGGAACGCAATCCACGTATAAGCCGGTAAAAAGAAGTTATAATAAAAAGTCAAATACTTTGGCGCCCGGGCAGACTTCACACCAATCTGGAACAAAGCAAATTATACTGTGAGTACATGTAACTATCCAACTTTAGAAACTAAATTTTAAAACTAAGCTTCATTGCAGGTGAGCGTCAGCGAGAAAGCACAGTATCATTTTATATAAAGAGAAAAAAAATCCAGAATAATTTTTCGCATGTACGATCGTAGGCATGCGCACTTGTTTTATGGTTATCTAGGATACGCGATTTCTCGTCCCCAGAGCCACTGGGCTTAATTTGTAACGGACGGCACGTTTCAAGAACACGCACCCCCGGAACCTGCATTAAACATATCAATCTGTATCAGTTGGCCATTTCTCAAGGGTGACTGTGGTTTGACTGTGATCACTTACGGCATCAATACCCCATACAGCAGACACGCCATTGGATACCGTGTCATCACGCATAACTTCAAATCCCCTCACTTTTCCAACATCTTCGGCATAGACTTTAAAGTCGTCTACACTACAGGGAAATTTGAAAAGCATTGAAATTTACAAATTTATCCATTTAAACCAAGATATCATTATTATTGACTTAGATTCCATGTCTGAAATGTGGGCCGTTCACAGTCCCTCCACCCCGTCTCTCTTCCCTGCGCCCTCCCCCGCCCCCCCCCACACGGGTTAGGAATGAAATAGCGGCCATGTTGGTTTACAGTGTAAATTCTGTGGAAGTTGAACTCTTGCTACGTAAAAGCGTCTTCTGTCCCACTAAATTGCATCGGATTCTGGCCCCTTGTGTAACAATGCTCCGTAGACTTAAAGAAATTGTAATATATACTGCATGGGCAGTATTTTTGCAAATTCTAAGGGATATAGCGTTTGTCTTTTTGTTTTTAGCTAACCCTGTTATGTATAGCTGATGATCGATCAGCCTAGAGGAAAAACTGCCCTCTGTGCGTAACCTCTACAAAAATATAGAAAGAGTTAGGTTATGTTCGTGCCGACACGGAAAGCTATTGGCTGTGCGAACACCTGTCCGATATGTGACTCTCCACTTTAGGAGATCGGCGCGCACAGCAACTTCGCTCCGTTACAGCAACTTGTTTTTGAATTAAATTATACCACTTTTAAAACGAGAAGGGGGGCAAAAGTCGAAAATTAATTTGTTCGGCACGCGCCGGTCAGCTATTCCTGTGCCCAATAACAACCCTTGAAGTCTACTCAATCGAGTTTCATAGTCGTTTCTAAAGTGGTGAATTATACTGTGAGTTGAAAGCCACAATAACGTGCGACACTTACGCTCCTTGTTGAAAGTCATCTTTCCCAAGGTTATCCAAGAGCAATTTCCTGGTGAAGCCCTTCTGGCCAAGTATTTTGATCCAAACATTGGCGTTTGTGCCAGCCATAGCATTATCTGACGTACCGGTTTTAACATAGTACGCTGAAGTTAGAAGAATACAGTATCATATTACAATGTAACTAATGCAATCTCTAAACTGTTACTGAGTTGCTTTGTTCGTAGCCTTACCACTTACCCATAGTAATTCATTCAAAGTTTATGCTGTAATATATAATTTCTTAAGGGGGGGGGGAAGGTGGCCCGGAAGGGTTCTCCCTATAATGGACTATACGGGGAGTCTCCGCCTGAAATGGGTACCTTTAATCAGGCTTCAGGTATATGAAAGGGTAGGGATTTCACTAGTGAAAGTATATAAAAGTGTAGGAAATCTCTCATTTCGGGGGTTTAGTATGACATAAAATTGCTACAGAAGGATTTAATGATTGTGAAAAAGTCGAGAACATTTTCTGGTTTTGTGATTTTTTCATATTTAAAAGGCAGTACATTTATAGAAGTTATAGGGATACAAAGTTATAAACTATGCAAGTAAAGTGAGTACCATTGTCAATGGAAGGTATACGAAAGGGTTGATGTTTCTGTCAAAATGGTATATAAAAGGGTAAGGGCTTGGACCTCGGGACGGAGTCCCCCCGAGGGGTGGAGCGGGCAGGCACGGTTTTAATACTTCTCATTTCAGTGTGTAAAGTTTGTATATCTCTTTGCAATGAGTATTTAGGATGGAAAGACAAAATATTACGTAGATAGGTATCGCGTAAGAATGTGCTTGAAGAAATAATAAAGCAGAAGTGGACAATTTTTATCTTATCAAATTTATTATAGCTCCTGTTTAACTGTCTGTATGAGAATGGTATGTTAGATGGGTAAGAAAAGCTTGGTCCACGCCCACATTTACAGGGGCACCTACTCCCCTCTCACATGAAAGTGTCCCTCGAGAAATTTCAATTATGTACCTACCAACTAACTTTGCATGAGTGAAAGAAATTATAAGTACCAACAGGGCGAACAGAGAATACTTCATGGTTTAAAGACAAAACTGAAAAAAAAAACACAAAAAAAATTATTCTTCCATCGTTAGGAGTTTTCCTTATAAGTGAAAGTTTAAGGAACAAGTTATCATTAACTTCTTGCATGTTCAACAGCTTTTTACTAATTGTGAACATCTTCCGCTGATCGGCGCTGTTTTCATTGATAAAATGATACTCCTGCTGGGATTTTTTCATCAGAAAACTTAGTCGATTCCTACCAGCTTTGAATAAATTGAAGTCAGCGGGAAGTACGCCTCTATCTAAGTACGTTCGGCAGACCGTTTATGGCACTTTGTAGCTTTAATGCTGTCGCTAAACCATAGAACACGTGGACCAATTGTTATTGACTTGAATTTAAGAGGAACATAGTTATCAAGAATCGTAAACAAGGTAAAGTTGAAGGGCAGATAACAGATATGAGAGCATTAATTTGGAAAAAAATTATAATAAAATTGTCAGAAATAACAAAGAAATATAATTTAACTAGAATCAAGGCATAACTGACTCACATTCCACACGTAATATTTTGTAGTTGTTGTTGTTTTTATAATCTCTTTTTCTCCCAGCAGAAATTATTCATTTAATTTTAATTTATTCAAACCTGAGTTAGGCTTCTGGTTATGACAATAATCAAAAACTTCGCCGCATTGCTTTTCCATTTGTAAAATGTGAAAGACTCTAGCTAACTAAAAATGTGAAACGTATCATTTGTAGTAAGATATAAAACTCTTCCTTGCTAAGACACTTCTTTAAATAGACGGGAGGACGTTTTATGTTTACACATATACCATGACCATTCTTTCTTAAGTGGTGATATGTTTTGTTAGCGCTTTTTAGTGAATCACTCGTTGGTTATTTCGAAAGAATCCCACTTAAGACTTAAGTGCTATTAAGCACTAGTTGTCTATTTTGCTACTAAAGGTCTGTATTTGGGTCAGTAAATGCGGAAAGACAAACCCGCTTATTGAAGATGAAGTCTAAACAGTGGGAAATGAATTGAATTCTCAAATTGTGACACATTCAGTAAGTATTTTGCCTTAAAAGTCACTAGTACTGGAACTTTTTTTCTCTATGGTTATCCTAAATTCACTCGATTTCACAGTTGAGCATGCAGCCACGCTCTCATTAGCTTTAACGTGCAACAACTGGCAAAATTTTTGCTTACAGTTAATACATCATTTTCTTTCTTCTTCTTCTTATTTTTTTAAAAAACGCTATTGTGAGCAAACATAAAGATATGAGGACGAGGCTCGGGTCAGGGACAATTTCATACAAATCACTGTATTTTGTCCACCACGGCCTCCAGTTGGTGCCTTTCTTTACAGGAATGTGGGAAAGGTCTATGAGCGGAAATTAAACGCATAGGGCCAAATATTTAAACGTAGTTTAGCCAGTGTTTAACAAAACCGCGTTCTAAGTCATTTTCAGTTTGCCTAACGATTTTATCTAAACACCATTTATTGTGAACAGTTCTACGAAAGCATAAAGAGAAGACTAGAAAAGCATTTATCTTCTTAAAACAACCCACCAAAGAAGAGATCTGGATGTTCAAAGATTTGGTAAACCGCGGCTTAAGTTACTGGCTCATACTTTTCCCAAAGGGGGACGGCCCAATTGAATAGAAGTTCGAATGTGTACTTACCCTCCTGTTAGATGCTTCGAAATTAATATTGGAAGGTTCGGTCCTCGCAGGCAGAAATGCTCTTCACAATGAGTTTGTAACATTCAAATGCATTGTATTCATAAGGTGACAAAAAAAAATCAACTATCATATTTTAAAGTTGTACGTCCAATGAAAACGAAGTGCTTAATGTCCTATGGAAGTATGTTATCGTACATAACATTTCCTTAAAAAAACCTTTGTCATAATCGATAATTATAGAAGGGTGCATTGAACAGAAATAGAGCAAGGTTTTGTACCTAAAAAGCAGTTATAGACTGGAAATGCCATTAGTCAAGTTTTAAGGCAGAGTTTTCTTTGTCATCTTTTAACAGTACGTAAGCGATGCATCAAAGCAAAAACAGTCGTGGTAAATTATTTCTTGCAACGATAGCGTAACACTCTTCCTCAGATTCTTTAAATTAGCTTTGCAGTTCTTGATTGTCTCAAACTTTATCGCTGGATTCTTTGTGTTTTTGCTCCTTTTAACTAATATTTTTAGTACAGTTTTATGCCTGGAGATGTATACACCGTGATGATGTAATACATTGAGATGGCGTTACTTTGGTGACCGGGATAGCCAGAATATGAATATGAATATGTCCCGGATGATCATGCATATTCTTAGAATATGTCCCTACTAGAATTTAAGGATAGAGACTACTGTTTACACTTTGTTATTCAAATTTGCAACAAATGAAAAAAAAAAATGCAAAAGTGAAATCTATTCACAATTGTTTTCTCCCATTCGACAGCATTACGTATTTCGGGTCTTTAAAGTTTCTTTTAACTGAGGAGGAACACCATGATAAAACTATCTGTTTTGGTGAGTCCACATAAATTCTTTTCAGTTTATTTACAAAATCTCATTACACTGAAAAGCCACATATATGAACCCTACCAGGACATAAGGCTATAGGAGAGATCACTGTTTACACTTTGTTATTCAAATTTGTTACGAATGAAAAAAAAGAATGTTTTGTTTCGAGAACAAGTGCGTTGCCCTTCTGCAGGTTGGCACATTGATATGGATAGGTGACGTAAGCGTGAGTAGCGCTATTTAGGTTCTTAACTCGTTAATCCTTATGTTCTTTACACAGTTACAGTTGAGTATGGTGGCAGAGGACTGGTGGGAACTACGGAGAGTAGGGACGGTGGCAAAGGGTTCGGGAGGGGGGAGAGGGAAGGGTGGGAGGTGAGGGATCCTGAAAGGGGTGATAAGAGAGAGAAAAAGCTAGGGGGTGCATGATTATTCAACAACAATGCTTAATATTTTGTAGTCCAAAAGGGCTATGGGAAGGGAGTCAAGAGAAAAGGGGCGGGAGTCGGGAAGTTCCCCCTTCTAAAATATCTTCATAGCTTATCCGCAACGACGCCGCTCTACAACGTAAAAACAGTTGAACATTTTCAGCCCCTGACATGCAAGATAATTCATCCCCACGAATTAAAGTGATGGGCACCCTCCTGTACCCCTACCTTTCCTCTCTTATTGATGCGATCCCCATGGAAACTTGTGACGTTCCTCAAAATGACCCCCAGTTTGTCTGCCATCCTCTAAAATCTGATGCCATTACCACAGGGCGTCCTTACTCCTGGTTTGATTTCGGCAAAACTGTACCGAATAGCTTTCCGTGCCAACACGAAAAACTATATATCCAGTATAGTATAAACACTTATTCCTGTGACTCTTTACTTAAGAGATCGGCGCGGCGCAAATTCGCTTTGTACAGATAGACTTTCGAGAAAGTCCTTCGTCCTAAATATGGCCCGCGAGACCTCTCACTCGGCCACTTCGTGGCCTAAAAAACTCGCTGCTGTGAAAGCGAAACTCATGAGCTCGACTTGTGTGGCAAGTCTACGTTACGGCAATCGCAGAGAAATCACCGTAGTTATATATGTGAACAGAAGCGCTATCTGGTAAGGTTATCGTGCTGGAGAGAAACATGAACATAGCCTTAATGTCAGGAGAGGGATCGTGTGCATTTCTAATCAGTTTATGGGGAAATACGGGTTGAATGAAACTATGAATTGCATAATAATTAGCTGAACATTTCACATGGAGAAGCTGTGCATAAAGTTTGTTTTTTATTAGAGTAACAATTTTACGAAAATGATAACGCATGATAAATCACGAAGTCATCAAAACATAGATCCAGGAATTGACACGTATAGGGGAGTCAAAACTGGATTTTTAAAAAATTGAGCCTTTTCATTTACATGACATTATGTCCGCCATATTGGTGTCCCAAAACAATCAAACGGCAGCCATGTCGGTGGCCGAAACAAGTCCTGCGAGAATTGAACTCTTTCCTTATGAAAACGCTTACTTTTGTCGCAATACTGCATAGCTACTGACCACGAGTGAAACGCTCTATAGAAAATTAATGTAACCCTAAAACCAAACCCAAACCCTAAAATCATGTTGTAAAATGAAACGACGTCTTCTTACCATTTCTTCATTCAGTTACGGCGCGTCGTTAGCCACTTTCAACACTTCAGCATGTTCTCCAGTCGAAAATGTCTTTTTGGATGCGGCTTTCTCCAGGAATATGTCTTAGGACGCTTCAGCGAAATATGGACTGCACGGTCTGCTCACTGACTGCAGTTCCACAAAATAAATTTGGTGTTTTTTAATCTATCATGGTTTGATTCTCATGGGATATGCTTTTAAAACCGTTATTAACAGCCTCGGTAGTTAACACCACAATCAGTTTCCACGGTCTACACTCTCATAGACCATAGCTCTCGACCAATCAGCGCGCGAGGATTCGCTCAGTTATTGTAAAACACGCGTTTTATCGCTCATTCGTGCTTCAAATGATTATAAATATGTATTGTTTAAGGTCGTGGGCGACACCCTTTTTTCTGATTGTTATGCATTTATTTAAGTCGTATGCGCGAAGTACAACGACAGATATCGACAGGTTTACGACATATTCATAACTGGATAAAAGATGAGCGCATATTCTTTCCGCAAACTTGGACACAAAATCACGATTTCCCACGGTACAACTGTGGCTTAAGGCATCGCAGTTACGCGCGATCTACCAAACCAGCCGAGATAAAAGCGTTTTAAATGATTTAACAACACTGCCAGCACCTATAAAGGTCTCAAGAAAGCTAAATAAAGACTATGGAAGCGGATTTCTATTCGAAAGTAACAAACTCACTCTCGTTTGATTTCTTGTTATTCTGAACACGTTTTTTTTCCGAAATCGGAGCATACGCATTTAGGACCTTTTTACATGGAGGTGGGGGACCCCAGGTAGGTGGGGTAACCCGCTTAGGTGGGGTAACCCGCCTGTCCATATAATCTCTCATTTTAATTTGATCACGTTTACTTGATAGGTGGGGTGACCCGCCACATGTTACCTCACCTATCTGGGGTCCCCCACCTCCATGTAAACAGGCCCTTAGTGTGAAAAACTCCTTTAAGACATCATTGATGTGGTGTCTGATTATCCCTTGAGGATAACTATTTTGAAGTATCGAACTAAAACAAAAAAACCTTGGGGATGGACCATTATTTCTCTGGGGGGAGAGGAGGGGGAGAGGGGTTCAGGAATTTTCTTTTGCAAATGTATTTTTTTAATATATGCGCCGCTTCAATCATTTTTTTCCAAAGTCACCATCTTGAAAACAATTTTTATCCTGATTTTTTCTTTGGTGCTAAAACAATCAACAGTGCTATATGGCTACTTATTTTGTCCATATTAGCTCTTTGTTATTTATAGTTTGTGCGTTCTTTATTTGTCCTTTTTTGGCTGCTACTGACGCTAATGAAGGGCATACGACAGGGAATAGGCAAAAGGAGGTGTAGGGTTTTTTCAATTTTTTTTAAACTTAACTAGTAGGAAGCCCTCTGCGGACTGTAGCTGTAAAACTCGTTTCGTCTAACTAACTTAAGGTAGACTTCTTCAGGGAGTTGAAAACATTATAAAAAAATATAATTTTAAAAAACTGTCAACCTCTAAAACAACAAGGGTAATTGTTACCCTGTCAAAGTTTGTCTAGAGGGATGGATTGAATCCGACTCTTTTTGCTACTTTTACTTTTTACTAATTGTGAACATCTTCCGCTGATGGGTGCTGTTTTTATTGATAAAATGATACTCATGCCGGGATTGGCTATAACTTTGGCATAGATAATGGCGCTGAATCAAAATTTGTCAGAAATAAATCGTCCTTAACTTTTAATATTGTGTTAATAAGTCACGTGTTATGTCACGTAACCATTTTGCTAAAAATCTTAAATTATTGACCAATTGGCGACCGGTTTAAGAAAAGAAATCTAGCAATAACATTTTTCTAATTCATATTAAATATTTCTAACACTTCACGTTCGAAATGACCGTCCATTGCACTTCAATAAAAAATTATGAGTGAAAACATTTTAAATGCCCAACTTTAATCTTGAATTATTTAAAACTTTAATTTTAAACTTCGCGTACATTCATTCCAAACGTAGAAAGTTTTGTATGTTCATCGTCTTTCAGAAATGCAAATTTGTTTATCCAAACAAAGTAAATTCGCCACCAATTCGCCAATTTCCTTTATTTTCAATTTTTGGTCACGTGACATGTCACGTGACCATATCTAAACGCTAAGGCACAAGGAAACCTCAATATTTACCTTTGGAGAAAAATTCATTTTGTTCTAGGTCTCCTAGCGCGAGATACTACAAATCATTCATATGCTCCGAACACATCTTTGACCTAGGCGTTGAACCCCTTGAGTGGATGAAAATATTTATTCATTTTTATGTGGCATAATTGACACACATTCCACACCTTATAGTTTGTTGTTGTTTTTCAATCTCGTTTTCTCCCAGCAGAAATTTTTTATTTAATTTAACTCTTTATTTCAAATTCGAGTCAGGATAACAATGATTTTTTAAAGTTTTTGGCAATACTGAAAAAACTTCGCCGCATTATTTTTCGATCTTTAAAATGTAAAAGACTCGCGCTAACTAAAAATGCGAAATGTATCATTTGCAGGAAGATATAACGAAGAAGACTAGATCAGCATTTGCCTTCTTAAAATAACCCACCAAGGAAGAGATCTGGAGGTTCAAAGATTTCGTAAATTGCGGTCTAAGTTAGACTTCGTTTAAATAACCGACCCATACTTTTCTCAAGGGCGACGGCCTAATCAGAATTGAAGTTCGACTGGGTACTTACCGCTCCCTTTTAGATGCTTCGAAATTAATATTGGAAGCTTCGGTCCTCGCAGTGCAGAAATGCTCTTCACAATGAGTTTATAACATTCAAATGCATTTTATTCATAAGGTGACAAAAAAAAGTCGACTATCATATTTTCATGTTGTACGTCCAATGAAAACGAAGTGCTTGATGTCCTATGCAAGTATGTTATCGTACATAACATTTCCTTTAAAACCTTTGTCATAATCGATAATCGTATAGAGGTGGATTGAACAGAAATTGAGCAAGGTTTTGTACCTAAAAAGCAGTTATAGACTGGAATTAGGTAGAAAAAGCAGTTATAGACTGGAATTAGATAGTTTTAAGGCAGAATTTTCTTTGTCATCTCTTAACAGTAAACGGTACGTAAGCGATGCATAAAAGAAAAGAAGTCGTAGTAAACTATTTCTTGCAACGATAGCGTAACACTCTTCCGCAGATTTTTTAAATCAGTTTTGCACCTCTTGATTGTATCAAACTTTATTGCTGGATTCTTTGTGTTTTTGTTCCTTTTACCCAATATTTTTAGTTCAATTTTATGCTTGGAGATGTATACACCGTGATAATGTAACACATTGAGATCACGTTGCTTTGGTGACCATGACAGTCAGATATGAATATGTAGCCATGCAGAATATGTCCCGGATGAGAGAGCAGAAGTACGGGTCGTTGTTGTTCACCAGATTTGTAAAGACTGCAAAGGAATCACCACCCAGTCAGAACAGAACGCGTTCCTTTATGCTTTTAAGACTGAATGACCTGACTAAAACAGGAATTCAGTTTCACCATAATCCCTTGAAAACAATGTAATTCTTTCTCATGCCTCGTTGGGGTGGTGAGAATACCTGTTATTACATGTAGGGACAATTCTCCACTCCAGGGTTGTTTGGTTCTCCTGTAGTCCATGCAGAAAATGTGGCTGATACCGATGCTCCATCGATCCATTTAAAATCATTGTTTCCAGTGGTTTCCATTCCAAGCCATGGTTCTCCACTTTTCTCCATCGAGTTTGCCACATTGGTTTTCTATTTCCGATTTGAGAAAGGGTAGGACGGCACCTGACATTCTTCTCGAGCCTTCCTTTTTGTCATGCGATCTGTTGTTGTTATGACATAGTAACAGAAGGCTACTCGTTCAGTGCAGTCCTGTTCACAAGCTACAGGTGAAAATGATATTGAAGAGGGCTTAGCCTTATTCGTTTTATGACTAGTTCATTATTCTAAAAACATGGCAAAAAATTACAGACAACGATCCCGCGACGTGCAAGCGGTATTCGCGTTAGAAGGAAACATATCCAGTGTTCACAAACTAGGGGGGAAAATGATATTGAAATGGGTTCAATCTTATTTGAGGTTGGGGAAATAATTTTAGTATTTCTTGAGAAGTTCTTGGTGTTGAATAAAATTTGAGACTGGCAGTAAACACAATGAGGCATTGATTTCTTTAAATAAATCTATCATTACTCCAAACATCCTAAACTATCATGACAGGATATCATTTCAGAATATACTACATAAAACGCAACCAACCATTCCGCTATAGTCTTAGTGTTACTAATAATTTTGACGTAGGCTAGTATAAGATAATAGCTTAGTACCATGTGAGTTTGTGGTAAACATCGTTCTTAGTACACCTACTATTATGCTTAATCATCTGAATAGCTAACGTTTAAGTTATACGATATAAACTTGAGTAACAGAAGCTCTAGTTGTCGAGGAAGGAAAAACTAAACGTAAAACTTAATACTTACTCTTCGGAAATAGGCTGTTCCTGAGCTTGCCAAATGTAGCAGCGTTGAAAAGACGTGCCGAGAATTGACTGTGATGGAATTTGTCATTTCTGTGACCAAGCTACCAATTGTAATCAGCATGTATTGCTTGAGGATTACATAACCATTTGAACTGTCCTTTTAATGGACATTTCGATAGAAAATTGAGCGACATGATTTTTATGGCCTATGCATAGTTAATTAAACACAACGGCGATCAAGCTTATCAGACTTCTTTTTCAAATGTGTTTGTTAGTTTTTTGGACCTGACCTTGCACAACGTTCAATAGCATTCCTGTGATTTTGAATTTACTGACCAATCGAAAACGCTTCATTAATTTATTCTGACACTATAAAATTTGTTAACAAAAAATCAAGGGAAGAAAAGGAGTGGTCAACATAAATTTCAGCGCAGTTGTTTTCGTCTTTGATGTTTGTTGGTTTCCGTAACCAGTCTCCTCTATTTACTATAGTAATCTCATCATTTCTGGTGGTAGTAGTGTAATTGCTGTTTTGCTTTGCTTTTTTTTTCTCCCGCTGCTTCTCATTATTTTGATGGGGATAGGAGCGCGTAAGTTTCTATACTGATGCATAGCCAGATAAACCGCTGAATGAAAATAATGTCTATTGTGCAAAAGATGCAAAGATTACGTCATAATTATTCTCCATCATTTATGCGCTACTTTAATCAATGCAGCATGTAATTAGGCTGATTATTCAATGGCTTTTGTTCTTAGCACTAACCGCGCATGCTCAGCTAGTTGTCAACTTCTTGACCAGTCCACTCTCAGTCATTTGCGTACAAACGTTTGCTGACTTGTCATGAAAGATAATTTTCGCCATTGTTAATGTGTATAAAGGGTTTCGTTAATCGTTTGTCTCACGATTGTCACTTAGATATTGAACGCGGCGTTTCGACCGCGTAATGCAGGTCTTCATCAGGCGATAGAGTCGATTTACTGAGTAGGACTATTTGTTCCACTTTGGTTGTTACTTCGCGAATGGTTGCTGGGTTTCGTACCATCAAAGTATTGTTGGCGTTATCAGAGGAGGAAAATGTGCCCTCAGAGGTCCGCAGTGGCACAGTCCCCTTACTGACTTATACTTACTGTAAGTTCCCGCATGTTTGTTGCTTTCGAAAGCCAACCGCCCTTTTGTTGTGTCTCGGGTGCAGTCCCTACTGCTTCTCTCATTGAGCTTTTTTCTGAGCCTATCGACGCCACTTAAGGTACCCCTACTTTCTATCTATCTAGAGGACCGGTGAAAGGATTTGTTACAGGGTTTTCAGCCTTGATTTTATTGCTGTCTCATTATAGCCATTTTATAACTGACGGTCGGGATTTTTTAATGCCGGTTTATTGATGACTTTCAAGAAAATCATATATTCATGATCATCCTTAGAATAACCCTTAAGCTTGCTTGAAACCCCATGGAAATTAAACTGAATCATTTTCCAGTTTCTTTGTCTTATCCCTTACGGATTAAAATTCATTAGCTGGTGTTACTCAGTCTCCTTCGTTTCACTGGCAGCTGTTTCTGAAAAGAAAAAAACAAACAAACAAAAAAAAACACAATATGGATTAAAGTTTGGTCCTTCCCCAACTGTTCCTGCGCACGCGTGCACAGGATATCTAACTTTTTTGCGCGTATAAGATTACCTGCTTTGAAAGCAGAGGCAATATATCCCATAATGACAATAATAATAATAATATAATAATAATAATAATAATAATAATAATAAGATAGTAATAATATCCCTGGAATTTAGTTTAGTGGCAAAATGCAACGCGCGTTTCATTAAAAAAATCAACTAGTCAGAAAGTTATATGCGATCCTGTCGATGTAAGAATTTCAGTCTCAAACTAGCGTCAGGTCTGACGTGCAGGGGGGAGGGGGGTTTGGGGCCCGGAGCCCCCTGGATCCTCCACTAGTATCTCCTCTCTTATGAGAATGGGTCCTTTGTTACTGATCAGTCATGTTGACTTGTTAGAAGTGAAATACCACTCTGCTCTGGAGGATCCCTAATAAGTTTTTTCGGGATTTCTCTTATCTGAATCTCGGGATTCGGGATTTGAAAGTAAAATTAGGGCGAGCTTCGGGTTTGAAAATATGCGCGGGAGGTGGGATGCTAAAAACCCCCCTCGTGATTACGGGATTGCACGAAATTTTGAATCAAGATTACAGGATTGAAGAACTCTATTGGGGACCTCGCTCCGGAGAGTCTTGTCGCCCAGGTCGTTTCTTAGTCCTTAACATTTTCTGTTCCTCATGACTAACCAGCTGTAAGGGTCTCACTACTAACAGCTTACCGGTGGTACAACACTTTAAAGTTTTCAGGAAGCACTCCTTGCCAGAATTCTCCTTTGTACCCGCTGGGCAGGCAGCTGCTTCTTTATAGCAAGCCTCATTTGTTTCCAAGCATGTAGATCCTGAGAAGAAATTATTCTGTGATAAGTTTACCTCGACAGTATTCGCTTGGGTAACACCCGGCTAAAACATGTGAGAATAAGAAATTCAAAAGAAAAGAAGACCAAACTGGGCGAAGCTTAAGCGTTATTTGACCACTTATTAAAAAATAGCTTCTGAGACAGATAGGCTAAAAGAACTATAATAATTTTAATTTCGATAAAGGAGTTGCCATTGAATTTTTCTTCCGCTCTCTTCTTTTTCCTTCACTTAATTATTTACTGAAAAAAAAAGAGCGTGCAAAAAAATATATTTCTTGTCAGCTCTCAAGATCCACGTCCCCCCTTTTGCCGCACACTAAGGTAAATTTGATCCTCATCCCCAGGTCACACTCTCATTTGGAGCCTAGGTTACTGCCAGTTGCAGCAAGCCTCTTTCTCAACAATCCCACGAAGAAATAGAAGACTGCAAACAGCCCACTTTAACAGGAATTTAAGGTTTTCCCGGCCGCCAATTAAAATACTTCATATAGAAAAACAATCTTCTAAGGCGCACCATGCTGCTGGCGAAAAAACATTTTATCGTTATAACGTTTTTAGCCTCCTTCTCAGTCGTTTCGTCTCGTCAAAAAGACTTTGAAGGAGACCATACCGTTTTGGGAAAAAAGGATCTTAAAGTTTTCCTTCTTCTGGCCTCTCAAAGAGGGCAGTTCAGTTTAATTATTAACTTTTAACAAGTCAAAGAAATGAATTATTGAATAATAAGCTTGAGTTGAATACTGGTGGCTTTTTTCAAACTTGTGGCTGACCCATATAGTTTCTCATATTTAATTACTTACTGGGGAACTCAATCCACGTATAAGCCGGTAAAAAGAAGTTATAATAAAAAGTCAAATACTTTGGCTCCCAGGCAGGCTTCACACCAATCTGGAACAAAGCAAATTATACTGTGAGTACATGTAACTATCCAACTTTAGAAACTAAATTTTAAAACTAAGCTTCATTGCAGGTGAGCGTCAGCGAGAGAGCACAGTATCATTTTATATAAAGAGAAAAAAAATCCAGAATAATTTTTCGCATGTACGATCGTAGGCATGCGCACTTGTTTTATGGTTATCTAGGATACGCGATTTCTCGTCCCCAGAGCCACTGGGCTTAGTTTGTAACGGACGGCACGTTTCAAGAACACGCACCCCCCGGAACCTGCATTAAACATACCAATCTGTATCAGTTGGCCATTTCTCAAGGGTGACTGTGGTTTGACTGTGATCACTTACGGAATCAATACCCCATACAGCAGACACGCCATTGGATACCGTGTCATCACGCATAACTTCAAATCCGCACACTGATCCAACATCTTCGGCATAGACTTTAAAGTCGTCTACACTACAGGGAAATTTGAAAAGCATTGAAATTTACAAATTTATCCATTTAAACCACGATATCATTATTATTGACTTAGATTCCATGTCTGAAATGTGGGCCGTTCACAGTCCCTCCACCCCGTCTCTCTTCCCTGCGCCCTCCCCGCCCCGCCCCCCACGGGTTAGGAATGAAATAGCGGCCATGTTGGTTTACAGTGTCAATTCTGTGGAAGTTGAACTCTTGCTACGTAAAAGCGTCTTCTGTCCCACTAAATTGCATCGGATTCTGGCCCGTTGTGTAACAATGCTCCGTAGACTTAAAGAAATTGTAATATATACTGCATGGGCAGTATTTTTGCAAATTCTAAGGGATATAGCGTTTGTCTTTTTGTTTTTAGCTAACCCTGTTATGTATAGCTGATGATCGATCAGCCTAGAGGAAAAACTGCCCTCTGTGCGTAACCTCTACAAAAATATAGAAAGAGTTAGGTTATGTTCGTGCCGACACGGAAAGCTATTGGCTGTGCGAACACCTATCCGATATGTGACTCTCCACTTTAGGAGATCGGCGCGCACAGCAACTTCGCTCCGTTACAGCAACTTGTTTTTGAATTAAATTATACCACTTTTAAAACGAGAAGGGGGGCAAAAGTCGAAAATTAATTTGTTCGGCACGCGCCGGTCAGCTATTCCTGTGTCCAATAACAACCCTTGAAGTCTACTCAATCGAGTTTCATAGTCGTTTCTAAAGTGGTGAATTATACTGTGAGTTGAAAGCCACAATAACGTGCGACACTTACGCTCCTTGTTGAAAGTCATCTTTCCCAGGGTTATCCAAGAGCAATTTCCTGGTGAAGCGCTTCTGGCCAAGTATTTTGATCCAAACATTGGCGTTTGTGCCAGCCATAGCATTATCTGACGTACCGGTTTTAACATCGTACGCTGAAGTTAGAAGAATACAGTATCATATTACAATGTAACTAATGCAATCTCTAAACTGTTACTGAGTTGCTTTGTTCGTAGCCTTACCACTTACCCATAGTAATTCATTCAAAGTTTATGCTGTAATATATAATTTCTTAAGGGGGGGGGGGGGGAGGTGGCCCGGAAGGGTTCTCCCTATAATGGACTATACGGGGAGTCTCCGCCTGAAATGGGTACCTTTAATCAGGCTTCAGGTATATGAAAGGGTAGGGATTTCACTAGTGAAAGTATATAAAAGTGTAGGAAATCTCTCATTTCGGTGTTTAGTATGACATAAAATTGCTACAGAAGGATTTAATGATTGTGAAAAAGTCGAGAACATTTTCTGGTTTTGTGATTTTTTTCATATTTAAAAGGCAGTACATTTATAGAAGTTATAGGGATACAAAATTATAAACTACGCAAGTAAAGTGAGTACCATTGTCAATGGAAGGTATACTAAAGGGTTGATGTTTCTGTCAAAATGGTATATAAAAGGGTAAGGGCTTGGACCTCGGGACGGAGTCCCCCCGAGGGGGTGGAGCGGGCAGGCACGGTTTTAATACTTCTCATTTCAGTGTGTAAAGTTTGTATATCTCTTTGCAATGAGTATTTAGGATGGAAAGACAAAATATTACGTAGATAGGTATCGCGTAAGAATGTGCCTGAAGAAATAATAAAGCAGAAGTGGACAATTTTTATCTTATCAAATTTATTATAGCTCCTGTTTAACTGTCTGTATGAGAATGGTATGTTAGATGGGTAAGAAAAGCTTGGTCCACGCCCACATTTACAGGGGCACCTACTCCCCTCTCACATGAAAGTGTCCCTCGAGAAATTTCAATTATGTACCTACCAACTAACTTTGCATGAGTGAAAGAAATTATAAGTACCAACAGGGCGAACAGAGAATACTTCATGGTTTAAAGACAAAACTGAAAAAAAAAAACACAAAAAAAATTATTCTTCCGTCGTTAGGAGTTTTCCTTATAATTGAAAGTTTAAGGAACAAGTTATCATTAACTTCTTGCATGTTCAACAGCTTTTTACTAATTGTGAACATCTTCCGCTGATTGGCGCTGTTTTCATTGATAAAATGATACTCCTGCTGGGATTTTTTCATCAGAAAACTTAGTCGATTCCTACCAGCTTTGAATATATTGAAGTCAGCAGGAAGTACGCCTCTATCTAAGTACGTTCGGCAGACCGTTTATGGGACTTTGTAGCTTTAATGCTCTCGCTAAACCATAGAACACGTGCACGAATTGTTACTGACTTGAATTTAAGAGGAGCATATAGTTATCAAGAATCGTATAGACAAGGTAAAGCTGAAGGGCAGATAACAGATATGAGAGCATTAATTTGGAAAAAAATTATAATAAAATTGTCAGAAATAACAAAGAAATATAATTTAACTAGAATCAAGGCATAACTGACTCACATTCCACACGTAATATTTTGTAGTTGTTGTTGTTTTTATAATCTCTTTTTCTCCCAGCAGAAATTATTCATTTAATTTTAATTTATTCAAACCTGAGTTAGGCTTCTGGTTATGACAATAATCAAAAACTTCGCCGCATTGCTTTTCCATTTGTAAAATGTGAAAGACTCTAGCTAACTAAAAATGTGAAACGTATCATTTGTAGTAAGATATAAAACTCTTCCTTGCTAAGACACTTCTTTAAATAGACGGGAGGACGTTTTATGTTTACACATATACCATGACCATTCTTTCTTAAGTGGTGATATGTTCTGTTAGCGCTTTTTAGTGAATCACTCGTTAGTTATTTCTAAAGAATCCCACTTAAGACTTAAGTACTATTAAGTGCTAGTTGTCTATTTTGCTACTAAAGGTCTGTATTTGGGTCAGTAAATGCGGAAAGACAAACCTGCTCATTGAAGATGAAGACTAAAGAGTGGGAAATGAATTGAATTCTCAAATCGTGACACATTCAGTAAGTATTTTGCCTTAAAAGTCACTAGTACTGGAACTTTTTTTCTCTATGGTTATCCTAAATTCACTCGATTTCACAGTTGAGCATGCAGCCACCCTCTCATTAGCTTTAACGTGCAACAACGGGCAAAATTTTTGTTTACACAGTACAGTTAATACATCATTTTCTTTCTTCTTCTTCTTATTTTTTAAAAAAACGCTCCTGTGAGCAAACATAAAGACATTACGACGAGGCTAGGGTCAGGGACAATTTCATACAAATCACTGTATTTTGCCCACCCAAGCCTCCAGTTGGTGCCTTTCTTTACAGGAATGCGGGAAAGGTCTATATGCTGAAATTAAACACATATGACATAGGGTTTAAATATTTAAACGTAGTTCAGCCAGTGTTTAACAAAACCGCGTTCTAAGTCATTTTCATTTTGCCTAACGATTTTATCTAATCACCATTTACTGTGAACAGTTCTACGAAAGCATAAAGAGAAGACTAGAAAAGCATTTATCTTCTTAAAACAACCCACCAAAGAAGAGATCTGGATGTTTAAAGATTTGGTAAACCGCGGCTTAAGTTTCTGGCTCATACTTTGCCCACAGGGGGACGGCCTAATTGAATTGAAGTTGGAATGTGTACTTACCGCTCCCCGTTAGATGCTTCGAAATTAATATTGGAAGCTTCGGTCCTCGCAGGCAGAAATGATCTTCACAATGAGTTTGTAACATTCAAATGCATTGTATTCATAAGGTGACAAAGAAAAAAATCAACTATCATATTTTAATGTTGTACGTCCAATGAAAACGAAGTGCTTGATGTCCTATACAAGTATGTTATCGTACATAACATTTTCTTAAAAAACCTTTGTCATAATCGATAATTATATAAAGGTGGATTGAACAGAAATTGAGCAAGGTTTTGTACCTAAAAAGCAGTTATAGACTGGAAATGCCATTAGTCAAGTTTTAAGGCAGAATTTTCTTTATCATCTCTTAACGGTACGTAAGCGATGCATAAAAGCAAAAGATGTCGTAGTAAATTATTTCTTGCAACGATAGCGTCAAATTAGTTTTGCATTTTTTAAATTAGCTTTGCAGTTGTCTCAAACTTTATCGCTGGATTCTTGGTGTTTTTTGTTCCTTCTAACTAATATTTTTAGTACAGTTTTATGCTTGGAGATGTATATACCGTGATAATGTAATACATTAAGATCGCGTTGCTTTGGTGACCATGATAGCCAGAATGTGAATATGTAGCCATGCAGAATATGTCCCGGATGAGAGAGCAAAAGTACGCGTCGGGTCTTTAGTTTACTGAGGAGGAACCTTGTAAAACTATCTGTTTTAGTCCACATAAATTCTACGTTTATTTACAAATCTCATCACTGAAGAGCCGAATATAAGAACCCTACTAGAATTTAAGGCTATAGGAGAGACTACTGTTTACACTTTGTTATTCAAATTTGCAACAAATGAGAAAAAAAAGAATGCAAAAGCGAAATCTATTCACAATTGTTTTCTCCCATTCGACAGCATTACCATATTTCGGAAAGATTTCAGAGGGCAACCAAGATAAACTATATGCTAAAGTTGTCTTTTAACCAATATTTTTAGTACCGTTTTATGCTTGGAGATGTATACACCATGATAGTTTAATACATTGGGATCGTGTTGCTTTGGTGAATATGTCGCGGTTGAGAGAGCAGAAGTACTGGTCGGGTCTTTACTTTACAGAGGAGGAGCCTTGTAAAACTATCTGTTTCAGTCCACATATATTCTTAGTTTATTTACAAATGTCACTTACACTGAAAAGTTGCATATATGAACCCTACCAGGACATAAGGCTATAGGAGAGATCACTGTTTACACTTTGTTATTCAAATTTGTTACGAATGAAAAAAAAGAATGTTTTGTTTCGAGAACAAGTGCGTTGGCCTTCTGCAGGTTGGCACATTGATATGGATAGGTGACGTAAGCGTGAGTATCGCTATTTAGGTTCTTAACTCGTTAATCCTTATGTTCTTTACACAGTTACAGTTGAGTATGGTGGCAGAGGACTGGTGGGAACTACGGAGAGTAGGGACGGGGGCAAAGGGTTCGGGAGGGGGGAGAGGGAGGGGTTGATGGTGGGGGATCCTGAAAGGGGAGAGAAGAGAAAGAAAAAGCTAGGGGTTGCATGATTATTCAACAACAATGCTTAATATTTTGTAGTCCAAAAGGGCTATGGGAAGGGAGTCAAGAAAAAAGGGGCGGGAGTCGGGAAGTTCCCCCTTCTAAAATGTCTTCATAGCTTATCCGCAACGACGCCGCTCTACAACGTAAAAACAGTTGAACATTTTCAGCCCCTGACATGCAAGATAATTCATCCCCACGAATTAAAGTGATGGGCACCCTCCTCTACCCCTACCCTTCCTCTCTTATTGATGCGATCCCCATGGAAACTTGTGACGTTCCTCAAAATGACCCCCAGTTTGTCTGCCATCCTCTAAAATCTGATGCCATTACCACAGAGCGTCCTTACTCCTGGTTTGATTTCGGCAAAACTGTACCGAATAGCTTTCCGTGCCAACACGAAAAACTATATATCCAGTATAGTATAAACACTTATTCCTGTGACTCTTTACTTAAGAGATCGGCGCGGCGCAAATTCGCTTTGTACAGATAGACTTTCGAGAAAGTCCTTCGTCCTAAATATGGCCCGCGAGACCTCTCACTCGGCCACTTCGCGGCCTAAAAACTCGCTGCTGTGAAAGCGAAACTCATGAGCTCGACTTGTGTGGCAAGTCTACGTTACGGCAATCGCAGAGAAATCACCGTAGTTATATATGTGAACAGAAGCGCTATCTGGTAAGGTTATCGTGCTGGAGAGAAACATGAACATAGCCTTAATGTCAGGCGAGGGATCGTGTGCATTTCTAATCAGTTTATGGGGAAATACGGGTTGAATGAAACTATGAATTGCATAATAATTAGCTGAACATTTCACATGGAGAAGCTGTGCATAAAGTTTGTTTTTTATTAGAGTAACAATTTTACGAAAATGATAACGCATGATAAATCACGAAGTCATCAAAACATAGATCCAGGAATTGACACGTATAGGGGAGTCAAAACTGGATTTTTAAAAAATTGAGCCTTTTCATTTACATGACATTATGTCCGCCATATTGGTGTCCCAAAACAATCAAACGGCAGCCATGTCGGTGGCCGAAACAAGTCCTGCGAGAATTGAACTCTTTCCTTATGAAAACGCTTACTTTTGTCGCAATACTGCATAGCTACTGACCATGAGTGAAACGCTCTATAGAAAATTAATGTAACCCTAAAACCAAACCCAAACTCTAAAATCATGTTGTAAAATGAAACGACGTCTTCTTACCATTTCTTCACTCAGTTACGGCGCGTCGTTAGCCACTTTCAACACTTCAGCATGTTCTCCAGTCGAAAATGTCTTTTTGGATGCGGCTTTCTCCAGGAATATGTCTTAGGACGCTTCAGCGAAATATGGACTGCACGGTCACTGACTGCAGTTCCACAAAATAAATTTGGTGTTTTTTAATCTATCATGGTTTGATTCTCAGGGGACATGCTTTTAAAACCGTTATTAACAGCCTCGGTAGTTAACACCACAATCAGTTTCCACGGTCTACACTCTCATAGACCATAGCTCTCGACCAATGAGCGCGCGAGGATTCGCTCAGTTATTGTAAAACACGCGTTTTATCGCTCATTCGTGCTTCAAATGATTATAAATAAGTATTGTTTAAGGTTGTGAGCGACACCCTTTTTTCTGATTGTTATGCATTTATTTAAGTCGTATGCGCGAAGTACAACGACAGATATCGACAGGTTTACGACATATTCATAACTGGATAAAAGATGAGCGCATATGTCTTTCCGCAAACTTGGACACAAAATCACGATTTCCCACGGTACAACTGTGGCTTAAGGCATCACAGTTACGCGCGATCTACCAAACCAGCCGAGATAAAAGCGTTTTAAATGATTTAACAACACTGCCAGCACCTATAAAGGTCTCAAGAAAGCTAAATAAAGACTATGGAAGCGGATTTCTATTCGAAAGTAACAAACTCACTCTCGTTTGATTTCTTGTTATTCTGAACACTTTTCAGACATCGGAGCATACGCATTTAGGGCCTTTTTACATGGAGGTGGGGGACCCCAGGTAGGTGGGGTAACTCGCTTAGGTGTGGTCACCCGCCTGTCCATATAATCTCTCATTTTAATTTGATCACGTTTACATGATAGGTGGGGTGACCCGCCACATGTTACCTCACCTATCTGGGGTCCCCCACCTCCATGTAAACAGGCCCTTAGTGTGAAAAACTCCTTTAAGACATCATTGATGTGGTGTCTGATTATCCCTTGAGGATAACTATTTTGAAGTATCGAACTAAAACAAAAAAACCTTGGGGATGGACCATTATTTCTCTGGGGGGAGGGGAGGGGGAGAGGGGTTCAGGAATTTTCTTTTGCAAATGTATTTTTTTAATATATGCGCCGCTTCAATCATTTTTTTCCAAAGTCACCATCTTGAAAACAATTTTTATCCTGATTTTTTCTTTGGTGCTAAAACAATCAACATTTTGTCCATATTAGCTCTTTGCTATTTATAGTTTGTGCGTTCTTTATTTGTCCTTTTTTGGCTGCTACTGACGCTAATGAAGGGCATACGACAGGGAATAGGCAAAAGGAGGTGTAGGGTTTTTTCAATTTTTTTAAACTTAACTAGTAGGAAGCCCTCTGCGGACTGTAGCTGTAAAACTCGTTTCGTCTAACTAACTTAAGGTAGACTTCTTCAGGGAGTTGAAAACATTATAAGAAAAATATAATTTTAAAAAACTGTCAACCTCTAAAACAACAAGGGTAATTGTTACCCTGTCAAAGTTTGTCTAGAGGGATGGATTGAATCCGACTCTTTTTGCTACTTTTACTTTTTACTAATTGTGAACATCTTCCGCTGATGGGTGCTGTTTTTATTGATAAAATGATACTCATGCCGGGATTGGCTATAACTTTGGCATAGATAATGGCGCTGAATCAAAATTTGTCAGAAATAAATCGTCCTTAACTTTTAATATTGTGTTAATAAGTCACGTGTTATGTCACGTAACCATTTTGCTAAAAATCTTAAATTATTGACCAATTGGCGACCGGTTTAAGAAAAGAAATCTAGCAATAACATTTTTCTAATTCATATTAAATATTTCTAACACTTCACGTTCGAAATGACCGTCCATTGCACTTCAATAAAAAATTATGAGTGAAAACATTTTAAATGCCCAACTTTAATCTTGAATTATTTAAAACTTTAATTTTAAACTTCGCGTACATTCATTCCAAACGTAGAAAGTTTTGTATGTTCATCGTCTTTCAGAAATGCAAATTTGTTTATCCAAACAAAGTAAATTCGCCACCAATTCGCCAATTTCCTTTATTTTCAATATCTAAACGCTAAGGCACAAGGAAACCTCAATATTTACCTTTGGAGAAAAATTCATTTTGTTCTAGGTCTCCTAGCGCGAGATACTACCAATCATTCATATGCTCCGAACACATCTTTGACCCAGGCGTTGAACCCCTTGAGTGGATGAAAATATTTATTCATTTTTATGTGGCGTAATTGACACACATTCCACACCTTATAGTTTGTTGTTGTTTTTTCATCTCGTTTTCTCCCAGCAGAAATTATTTATTTAATTTAACTCTTTATTTTAAATTCGAGTCAGGATAACAATGATTTTTTAAAGTTTTTGGCAATACTGAAAAAACTTCGCCGCATTATTTTTCGATCTTTAAAATGTAAAAGACTCGCGCTAACTAAAAATGCGAAATGTATCATTTGCATGAAGATATAACGAAGAAGACTAGATCAGCATTTGCCTTCTTAAAATAACCCACCAAGGAAGAGATCTGGAGGTTCAAAGATTTCGTAAATTGCGGTCTAAGTTAGACTTCGTTTAAATAACCGACCCATACTTTTCCCAAGGGCGACGGCCTAATTGAATTGAAGTTCGACTGGGTACTTACCGCTCCCTTTTAGATGCTTCGAAATCAATATTGGAAGCGTCGGTCCTCGCAGTGCAGAAATGCTCTTCACCATGAGTTTATAAGATTCAAATGCATTTTATTCATAAGGTGACAAAAAAAAGTCAACTATCATAATTTAATGTTGTACGTCCGATGAAAACGAAGTGCTTGATGTCCTATGCAAGTATGTTATCGTAACATTTCCTTAAAAACCTTTGTCATAATCGATAATTATATAAAGGTAGATTGAACAGAAATTGAGCAAGGTTTTCTACCTAAAAAGCAGTTATAGACGGGAAATGCCATTATTCAAGTTTTAAGGCAGAGTTTTCTTTGTCATCTCTTAACGGTACGTAAGCGATGCATCAAAGCGAAAGAAGTCGTGGTAAATTATTTCTTGCAACGATAGCGTAACATTCTTCCGTAGATTTTTTAAATCAGTTTTGCACCTGTTGATTGTCTCAAACTTTTTTATTGCTGGATTCTTTGTGTTTTTTTTTCCTTTTACCCAATATTTTTAGTACAGTTTTATGCTTGGAGATGTGACCGTGATAATGTAATATATATATTGAGATCACGTTGCTTTGGTGACCATGATAGCCAGAATATGAATATGTAGCCATGCACAATATGTCCCGGATGAGAGAGCTGAAGTACGGGTCGGGTCGGGTCGGGTCGGGTCGGGTCGGGTCGGGTCGGGTCCTTAGTTTACTGAGGAGGAGCCTTGTAACACTACCTGTTTCAGTCCACATAAATTCTACGTTTATTTACAAATCTCATCACTGAAGAGCCGCATATAAGAACCCTACTAGAATTTAAGGTTATAGGAGAGACTACTGTTTACACTTTGTCATTCAAATTTGTAACGAATGAAAAAAAAAAAAAAAAAAAAGAATGCAAAAGTGAAATCTATTCGCGATTGTTTTCTCCCATTCGACAGCATTACCATATTTCGGAAAGATTTCAGAAGGCAACCAAGATAAACTATATGCTAAAGTTGTCTTACAAGTTATTGTCAAATCATATCGACAATAACGATGAAAACATGCCCTGTAAAGGAAGCCATAACCGCTACAACTTTACCATCGATTTTTTCTTTCAGCTTTTTCCTCTTCAGCACTAACTGAAACATTCGTCCATTAAACGCCTCCGTTGTGTTGTTTATATTTGTGGCTGTAACTCAGGCTATCGGTGAGAAGTAATATAACAAACACGAGACGAAGGGTCTCCATCACATATCAAACAACGAGAGGGACGACGAAACTAAAACGTGTAGCAGAGTAGAAAGAAATTTGACGGTTTTTGTTGTCTAATAAAAATGATTCGAATGTTTCGAAAAACAAAATTGAACTCACCGCCGCCCTCAAACGAGTCGTACATCACATATCTAAACATAACATGATTCATTACTTCCTTTGCCCTTTTTCCCCA